TCTTTCTAAATCAGATCATGTCACAAGTACTGGTGTTTAGATCTTGGATATACATACCTTTTTGTGAGAACAGAGTTCAACCCACTGCACCAAACAAAGGCTATAGCCAGTGTGGTAAATGGTACTGTTTACTACTGTTGGGGGAAAATAAAGGAAGAGAGAAAATCTTTTGCTGTCTCTGTCTTTTGGCATTCTGAAATTTTAAAAGAACCCAAATGACTGCTATAAGTGGAATGGCCAGGCCAAAAATCACATACAACAGAAAACTACTGCAGAGGGCAAGTTGGTCATCTCTAGCAAAATCATAAATGTATATGGTTTTGTAGTGGAAGTCCTTCTTATAACTTTTTATTGCTGTATAATATACACAGAGGAACATGTGAATAGCCAAAAAGTTCAGCTCTATTAACTCTCACAGCTTGAATGCACTTGACAAACCATAATCCAGTTCAAGTTCCCTTCATGTTTTACTACCCCAAGGATAACCAATGACAGAAAAAGTTTTGTCAGTTTTTCTTCTTCAAGAAATTGTACATTTTCCATGTCTGCTTTTCTTTTGCCTGATATTGTTCATAAGATTCATTTATGTTATTGCATGTAGCTGTTGTATGTGATTTTTGGCCTGGCCATTCCACTTCTAGGAATTTATTCAACATACATAATGCCATATGTTTGAAATGGCATTTGGGCCAATTTATTCACAGCAGTTATGCAAGACAATGGAAGCAAATGTTTATCTAGTTAAATAAATTATGGTAGGTCCACAAAATAGACTAGTGTATTACTGCAAAAAGGGAGAACTGTCATTCTGAACTCAAATGGAAAGATTGCTAGACTTAGTCAGAGATGCAAAAGCACAGTATAGAACAGGATGGACAGTATGTTACCTTACATGTCAATAAGTGGGAAATGAATACACACACACATAAACACACCCTGTAGTATTATAGTATGGATCAAAGATTAAAAACCTGTGATCTACTCCTGTCAGAATGGCAATCATCAAGAATACAGGCAACAGGACTGGGGTTGTAGTGCAGCAGAAGAGCACTTGCCTAGCATGTGCAAGGCACTGAGTTCAATTCTAAGCACTTCATACAAATTAATAAAAAATAAAGATCCATTGATGACTAAAAATATTTTTTAAAAAAGAACATAGGCAACAATAAATGTTGGCGAGGATGTGGGGGAAAAGGTACACTCATACATTGCTGGTGGGACTGCAAATTGGTACAATCACTATGGAAAGCAGTATGGAGATTCCTCAGAAATCTTGGAATGGAACCACCATTTGACGCAGCTATCCCACTCCTTGGTTTATACCCAAAGGACTTAAAATTAGCATACTACAGTAATGCAGCACGTCATTTTTTATAGCAGCTCAATTCACAATTGCTAAACTATGGAACCAATCTAGGTGTCCTTCAATAGATGAACAGATAAAGAAAATGTGGCATATATACTCAACTGAATATTACTCAGCTTCAAAGAAAAGTGAAATTATGGCATTTACCAGTAAATGAATGGAGTTGGAGAATATCATGCTAAGCAAAATAAGCCAATCCCCAAAATACCAAAATGTTTTTTCTAATATGTGTATGCAAATTCACAATAAGGCGGGGAGGGGGCACTAGGGAAGAATAGCATTAGATTAGATAGAGGGAAGAGAAGGGAAGGGAGGAGAGGGGATGTGGGGAAAGGAAAGATAGCAGAATGAAACAGACATTATTACTTTATGTATGTATGTGAATGCATGACCAATATGATTCTACAACATGTACACTCAGAAAAATGAGAAATCATTTCCCATCTATGACATACCAAAGTACATAAAACCTGTGATCTATAGATCAAATACAGTCTACCACCTCTTTTTCTAAACAAAGTTTCATTGGAATACAATCATGTCTCTTATTTCTACATTATGGGTGGCTGCTTTTACTCTACGATGATAGAATTGAGAAGTGGTCCACAAAGCCTAGAAATTAAAAAAAAAAAAGAAGAAGTTTTCCAGCTTCTACTGTGAGATGTGTTGAATAGCAGCTCCAAGAAGATATGGAGTTAGCCCAGTGGTAGAGAGTGCTTTTAACTGTGCATATGATCTGATTTGGAAATAAGAGTTTTTGCAGATATAAGACGATGTCATACTAGATTGAGGGTATTCCCTAACTAATCCAATGATTGGTGTCCTTACAAGAGAAAAGTTGAGATTTGAGATACAAACAGAAACATACAGGGGGGAAAAAGGACATGTGGAGATAGATGGAAGCAGAGATTGGAATCATATTCCAATAATATTCCAAAAGTCAACTAATACCACAGTTGCCAGCAGACACCAGACACTCAGGGAAGCATGGGACAAATTTTCTCTCAAAACCTCAGAAAAAACTACCAAGGACTTCTGTTGTTTTAAGCCTTCAAGTATATGGTAATTTATGGTGATGGTCTTAGAAAACTAATATTCTTGGCATCAATTATCTGGAAGGATACTCCAGAAACTGATTGCTTTGGTTCAGATGGAAGGGGAACAAGAGGACTGGCAAACCAGAGTGTGAAGGAGGCTTTACCCATATACTCTTCTGGAGTCCAGCGATCATCTAGCTCAGTGGTGAGCACATGATTAGAATGTGTGAGGCCTTGCATTTGATCCCAGTACAAAAAAAAAAAACAAAAAAAAACAACTATATGTTCTCTTGTAACTACTGAAATTTGAACCACATGAATATACTACTTCTTGAAAAATAAATAAAATGTAAATAGAAAAATGAATAGCTTAACCCAGCTTCAGGAGTCACTTCTGCTGATGCAGGTATCTAAAACCATCACCAATCATCTGTTGTATTTTTCGTCTACTCTTAGTCAGTTCTGATGAGCTAAACCAGTTCCTTCTGCTGGTGGGCCTGCTGCAGATGAACTCACAAGTTCATGTTGAGGTCAACAGCACACCTAGACCACGTCACTGACCTGAAGCATGAACTGGATTCTTCTGTAGGCTCTGATCCAAGATCTCCAACTGTCCACTCTGCTTGGGTTGCTGCTACCAGTCCAGTGACCATCTTCCTGCATGGACACAGTGCAGAGACCTCTTAACGTTTCCCTCCACATTACTCTTGTAGTAACCTCCTCACTCAACAAGCAGCCAGGTCACGGTACTTTATTGTTTTCCCTCACTTTTGGGCCCTCGCATTGCAACTGTATTAAAGTTAAAGCCAAACTCCCTATTATGTTCATTAAGGCACTGCAATGAATGGCCTGCACCTACCTTTCTAATCTCAACAGGTACTCTTCTATCAGTCCACTCTGCTTACTACATTCCAGCCCAGTGCATCACAAACCATGCTTGTAAAAGAATCACCCAGATACTTGGAAAAACAAACAAACAAACAAAAAAACTGGAAGCTTACAAGCTCTACTTCTTGCCTAGGAAATCAGACTTTTGGGGACAATTATCTGAAACTGTTGTGTACTGCATTTAATAAACTCTGGGAAATTCTCATGATCTCTGAAAATGCTTTAAGCTATTCTGGCCTTTCTACCTCAGTAACTTTGTGCTTGCTTTCCCATTGCTTGAAAAATTCTGCCAAAATATTTGAATGACTGATTCCTTCTCATATTTCATGCCATCCAAAATGTAAATACATACATACATGTGAGTAAGTGTGTGCGTATGTGTGTGTGTGCATGCCCAAACTCCTCTCAGTTTTCCTTCAGACTTCTCTGGGATACCATCTCTTATCACCTTTAAAATTGCACTCTTCCCTTTCTCTACTTCATATTTTAAAGTGTAACACCACTTTAAAACAAATATATCTAGTGTATTAAGCATATTGTCTATACCCACTAGATTTAGATTCTTCAATTAGAATCTAAATACTATGACAGCATTTTTTTTTTTTTGTACTGAGGATTTAACCTGGGTCTCTTTACCACCAAGCTACAATCCCAATCCTTTTTAATTTTTATTTTGAGACAGGGTTTCAATAAATTGCTGAGGCTGGCCTCCAACTTAGGATCATCTTGCCTCAGTCTACCCAGTCACTGGGATTCCAGGCATGGGCCACCGCCTGAGTTTGTGGGGGCATTTTTGATCCTTCGTTCATTGCTGCATCCCAGTGTTTAGGATAATGCTTGGCAAATACTAGGTGCTCAATGAATATTTAACACGTTGAATAATAAACTGTAGTTATCCAGATCAATAAATGGATTTTTTTCTTTCGTAATTGGACTCCTCTTTCATTCTGAACGTCCAGCATGTTATTTATTTCAAAGTTGTCAAGTAATTCTTGTCATCTTACAGAAGCCATTTACTGTAATTCTGTGACTGCAACCAAGATTTATTTAGCACTTAGTACGTGCAGACACAGTAGTAAGACATAATAATAATAATACCTTAGGCTCTCAGGTATTATTATAGTTATTTTCCGCCTGAGGAAATTAGGACCCAGAGGTGAATAATTTGTGACAGAGCCTGCGTCCTTAACTACTGGGCTTTACTGGCTCTTGAAGCTCCTTTCGTTTTTTCTTTTGGTAGTCAGCCTGTGGTTAAGTCGGCAGTAAAGAGCTCTTGAGGCTCAGAGTCGAAAGCTGTCAACGCGGAGGGCTTTATTTCTCAGGGCTCCAGGACCCACATCTTGCGTTTGAATCTCAGATGGCGGGAAACGGCAGGCAGGTGTCGGCAGGGGCGGGGCGGGGCCTCCAGGCGCCGCCAGCCAATGAGAACGGGCGGCGGCCTCCCTTCCCCCTGCGGGCTGCACGCGCCAAAATTCCAAACGGGACTGCGCACCGCTCACGCTGTCTCCCTCCGCCCAGCTCATCGAGCCGGGACTACATAAGGAAAAAAGAAGTCAATCGTCGTCCCGCCAGAATCGACTCAGGTGCTCCTCACCGTCAGTGTGTGTGGCGGTCCACTTGGGCCTCGCCTCCTGTGCTTTTCAGATAGCGGAGTTTCGAGGTTGCGGTTCCACGGAGGCGGAGTGGGCGGGGCAGACGGCGGAGGGGTTCCGGGTGCGCACGCTGCGGCCGCCGGCGCGGGGCTAGTGGCGCCAGAATTCGGAGCGCGGAAGCGCCTGAGCGGCTGCTTTTTCTAGCTCGGACCCTCTACCACAGCGACGCCTGGACCTGCAGGCAGAGACGATGGTGGTTCTCCGCAGCAGTCTAGAGCTGCACAGCCGCTCCACCGCATCGGCCACAGATTCCCTGGACCTGTCCAGCGAGTTCCTTAGCCTGGAGCAGATGGGACGGAGGCGGCTTCGCTCGGCCGGCGCCGCGGAGAAAGCCGCCGTCACTGCGGCCGCTTCGGGCGTGAGTACTGGCCTGGGGTGGGACCGGCCTGGGGCGGGACCCTCGGGCCCGGCCTGGGGGGACTGCCGGCGGCCGGGCCCCAGGAGGAGACCGCGGTGCGCTGCGCTGGTGGGGGTGTCAGTTGGTGGGGGGAGTAGTGTGGTCGAGGACGTGCGAAATGGAAGGGTTCTCGTGATTCGAGCCTCGCGGGGTGCGGGTCGGGTCGCCGCGCTGGAGCTGGCTGGAAGAGTGCCGAACAGTTGGTTACCTCCTACTTTTACGCAAGAGGAAGCCGAAGCCCGCCGGAGCTGAAGTGCAGTGTGGGGCCGAGCCGCGGTGGTTCGCGCCCTCCCCCACCTCCTGGGCCATCCTCCCTGGCTCCTGCCCGGGGTTCGCAACAGTCAGCAGAGAGCAACACGCATGTGCTGACTGCTTGCTGTATGCATGATAAACATTTTAGGGGCCCCAGGGATACACAGTAATTCAGGTTTCCGGACCTCCATTTAGGATTCGGAGGGGTTCCGGAATAAGAGCGTAATGAATATCAGGTTGCATAATGTGTAGGAATGATCTGTGACAGATGAAGAAACAGACTCGAAAAGGTAACCACTAAGTGGCAGATCTAAAATTGGAACTTAGGTTCTTTGCCTCCGTATCTTCCCCTTTTTGTTATATTATGCTGCAGTTACATATCTATAGGGGAGATTTGTAATGTGATGGAGTCCTCTTGAAAGAATTGCTTCTTATAGGTCTCATGTACAAATGAGATTTTTTTTAATGGGCAGAGTTAAAACAGGGAAAGAAACTCGCGTGCACCTCTCACCCCAGCTGCTGAAAGAGGTAGGTGGAAGGGACAGCATTCACAAAAAGATTGGAGAAGCTGAGGAAGCAACACTAAAGTTAAGGCAGCAGGTAGCATACTGGAGTTGGAGTGAGGGTAAGTGTGGAAGTGGGAAAAATAGGAAGGTTAGGAACTTGGAAGTCAGAATGAGAGGCTTAGGGGAAGTGTGTAACCAGAGTGACAAAGCATAATCCTTTTTAGTTCAGACTCAGTCTTGTACTAAGTTTTTTTTTTTTTTTTTTAGGATCGTCTGTAAGATAACTGTGAAATTAATATCTTTTTATGGATGGCACATATTGGTTGCCCCTCTTCTGAGGGGCATTCCCTTCAGTCTCTGAAATTGAGAAAACAAATAATTTCCTGACTTTCTGTGTTTCTCATTTAAGTGCAAGAATTGGCAGAGATCTGAGGAAGCTGAACATTTCTGAACTGGAAACACTTCTGCACTGAATTCAGGTCACTTGACCTATTAACCTGTGATAGAAAAGCTAATTGTTTCAATAAATATTTATTGAATGTTATTTTCAGGATAATGCTACATTTTGTGACCCTAATGACATTGAATTCTGGTTAGTAATAGGCTCCTTTTTTTTTTTTGTACTGAGGATTGAACTCAGGGGCACTTTTTGATTGAGCTACATCTACAGCCCTTTTATTTTTTATTTTGAAACAGTGTCTTCCTAAGTTGCTGAGGCTGGTCTTGAACTTGTAATCCTCCTGCTCAGTCTCCCAAGTTGCAGGGATTACAGGCATGTGCCACTATACCTGCCATTGTACATAGGTTCTTAAGACAACTATTAGTTTAAAATCACAGCTTACCAAGTTTACTAATAATCGGTTTTATGTACTTGTTAAGTAGGGCGATTACCTACCACATGGGTAGTGATGGGTAGTGTGGATTAAATGTGTTTGTGTATGTGAAGACATTAAAATGAGCTCTTGACATATTGTTAGTTATAAGACCATAGTTGATTTTAGTCAATAGCCACTTCACTTTCCAGTTCCTTAGGCCAAAAACCTTAGGATCACCCTCGACTTTACTCATATTTAATACATTAGCGTATCTGTTGATTTTATTTTTGAAACATTCAGAGTTGGACCATTTCTCAAGTCATTATCTCTTGCCTGGATTATTAAAATAGATTTTAATTTGGTCTCTCTGTTTTCTGCTATTATGCATATTGTGCCTCTCCAACAGTTCTCAGTATAGTGGTTTTTCTAAAAAGTAAAAAATAGTTGTTTACACCTTTGCTCAAAACCCTCTAAGGGACTCCCCACCTGAGATTAAAAGTTTGGAAGCATTTCTGCACCCCATTACCATCTTCCCTTTATAATGATATCCTCTTCCTTCCCTTTACAAAACTCACTCCCTTTCTAGTCACTGGTTTAGCTGCCCCTTGAATACCAAGACCTTTGCCCTTGTTCTGCTTCAACGTGGAGTAACACATAAACCATTCTTTTATCTTCCTTTATATTTTTTTAAACTAAAAATAAATCTCTCAGAGAGCTTCATGTGTTCCAAGATTTGTAGAAATAATAAATTGATCCTCACAACCCTATGAGATGGGTATGATTATCTTTGTTTTGCAGATGAGGCATAAGAGACTTAAATAACTTTCTCAGAGTCACTTTACAGCAAGTTGTAGAACTCTTGATTCAGATTTGGAGTCTGTCTCTCAAGTGTTTGCTAAAATTTCATCTTTTCAAAATAGTGCTTACCCTAAACGCCCTATTCAAAATTACAAACTATTCCCCTTGACATGCCCTTTTTTCCTTTTATGTTCTAAAATCACATTCTGCCATATTCCTTAGTTTCCTATTTTTCTAAGTATTTTTCTCTCCCCAAATCAGAATGTAACTCCATAGGAACTTGGATTTTGACTTGTTATTGAGCAATGTATTTCCAGAACCTAGAACAAAACTTAGCATGTTGTTGATCAGTAATAAATACTGGTTTTTGATTGTCTTTGCTTAAAAGGAACTTAGTCTAGGAGAGGAGACCTAACAGCAGTATACAGAGACTTTGCCATAAATGCCACGTGGTGATTGAGTAATTGGAATGCACTCACCTGAGTGTTATAGGATGGAGGATTTTTCTTTCCAGGCCAGGATTATACATTTTTTAAAAATACTTTTTGGAGACAAGTACCCTTCCCTTTTATAAATCAAGGCACCAAATTATAATCAGAGGTTAATTGGTGTGTATGGAATTAAATTAAAATAAATGGATAGTGTTGAAGGGTGATGAATTTATACTTACAAAAACTCACCAATGTCAAAAATGAAAAATACCTTTGTGGTTGGAAGATATTCTAATTTGGGGGCTTTACATCCAGAACATTTGAGTAGATTATACCTTGCCTTTTTTTTTTTTAGCATCAAGCATGTATTTCAGAGATAGCTCTCTGATCACTCTGCTTATGTTCATACATTTCCTAGTCCCTTCAGCTATATTTTATTGACATTTCTTAGGATAGGTTACTTTTACAGATGGCTAAATTTATTCATACTAATTCAACAATTTGAATTTTTCTTGGTCTATAGAGGCTGACCTTGTCTCCAAGTTGTGAAAGTGTCTACACCTATTTATTAAAATACATTCTACTTTTACATTTTGAATATGGTCTCACTCTATTGAGACTTGTGTTTTGGTTTTTTCTTGTATAAGTTTCCTGAATATTGTATTATTGTTTTGACTCTATTTTTTGAACTTTTATTTTCATCTTACCAACCTTATGAGCTAGAGCCTTGTCTGCAGTTGCTTTTTCCTCCAGAGTCAAGACTGTCCATTGTCTATTTCTGTACTTTCACAAGTCTAAAACACTTTGATTTAGGGTTGTTTTCTATTTTGAAGAGACACTTAAGGATGGATAGTGTGTCGGGGGTGATGATTGGGATGTATTTACCTACACTTTCACCCTTCAATATGTTGTTAGATAAAACATGTTGCAGCATGTAGAAAGTACTATTTTTCTTAAATGTATATTTATTTGAAGTCTGGAAAGATATTCCGAACTTAGCACTAGTCTGTGTACAACATATGGGAAATTTTTAACTTGAAGCATAACAACATAGGAAAATGAAAGTATGCAACTCAATGAAGTATCCACAAAGCATGGATAGGGAGATTTTGATATGGGACAGTGGGTAGTTCTCCCTGGAGTTGGATGACATGGCAGCTTTGCATTCATGCATAAGCTTGAAAGACTCTTGATTTTAGATTTAGAAGTTCCTTTATTTAGGAAGCAGTAGGGAACTAGAAAAGGGATCTTGTGCAATAGAGTTTAACATGGATTATAGTCAGTAAATGAGAGTTAAAAGATTATGATGGTAAGCTACCACTTGGATTATAGTTGCTTTGGGCTAGGCATAATACCCAATATATACAAATAGGCTCAGATACCTTGTAAAGATTTATACATCTGTAAATGACATGCAAAGAATCAAATGTAGGTACTCTCCAGAGTTTGGTCCTTAATACACCATTATTGCACTAGACCAAAACAGAAAACTAGAATTTAATTTAAGGTGGTAATAGAACTGGAGAGGAAATGCCAAATAATACAACACAGGGACCAAGAGTTGTTAGGACACAGGAAGGGGGAAGACTTATTTCCAGTAGAAGAGGTGAAAGGTAGACCTTGGGAATATTAGTGCCAGGGTCTGAGAAAAGGTTAGGATTACATATCCTTGAGAATAAATAAAAAACAGCAAAACAAAAAGAAGTGTGAGCAATGGGTATATTTTAAAGGTAAGACGAGGTTGAACTTTGTAACCAAGCATTTTCTATAAATCAAGAGAGCAAAGCATTTAAAGAAGGGCCAGAGTAACTCCAAAGAAGCCAGTGAGGTAGAGAAAAAGCCATTGAACTCAGCTATTAGGAGATAGTTGTGCATTCACGGTAAGTGGTGTAGAAGCAAAAACCAAATTGCTGGAGTTTGTGAATGGTGAGGAATTGATCCATTCTTATTTATTTAGGTACAGGGGATTGAACTCAGAAGTGTTTAACCCACTGAACTACATCTCCATCTCCCACCTACTCCCTCCCTCCCCCCACCTCCAGACAGGGTCTAACTAAGTTGCTGAGGCTGGCTTTAAACTTGCAATCCTCCTGCCTCAGTCTCTGGGATTACAGGTATGCACCACCACATGCAGCCCATTCTTACTTGATATTCTCGTTTGCTTCATTTGGTATAATAGGAATACCATTGTGGTTTAGAATATGCTGCTATTCAGGCTTTCAAGGAAAGTTAGGATGAGATGTTTTATGTCAGTATTGCAAATGACTTTAAAATCTGTTTAAGCCTCATTTATTGAATTTACATTTGATTTGGCCCCTCCCACTTTTGGCACGAATTGAAAGTGTTAATCAACTTGATCTTGTGAAAAATAACAATATTTCTAGTGTGCAGTTAGGTCTACTTTAGGGAAATTTTTTGTTATTCTACAAGGTCATAATAGACTTAATTTAAACAAAATATATTTTCTTCTTTTTTTTTTTTTTTTTTTGGTGTTGGGGATTGAACCTAGGGGCACTCAACCACTGAGTCACATCTCTAGCCCATTTTTGTATTTTATTTAGAGACAGGGTCTCACTGAGTTGCCTAGAACCTTGCTAAGTTGCTGAGGCTGGCTTTGAACTCATGATCCTCTTGTCTCAGCCTCCTGAGCCTCTGAGATTACGGGTGTACAATACCATGCCCTGCTCTTCTGTCTCTTAAAACTTCGCTTTTGGGCTCAGAATGTAGCTCAGTGGTAGAGTGTTTGCCTAGCATCTGTGAGGCCCTGAATTCAATCATCAGTACCACTGGGGGGGAAAAATGCTGGTAACGTTTAAACACAAAGAATTTTGTTTAAAGAGCTATCAGTGCTTGCCGGACGTGGTCATGCTTGCCATTATGGTCGCGCACACCTGTGATCTCAGCGGCTTGGGAGGCTGTGGCAGGAGGATCATGAGTACAAAGCCAGCCTCAGCAAAAGCAAGGCGCTAAGCAACTCAGTGAGACCCTGTCTAAATAAAATACAAAATAGGGCTGGGGATGCTGCTCAGTGGTTGAGTGCCCTGAAGTCAATCCCTGGTACCCCCCCAAAAAAGAAAAAAAAATATCAGTGTTCTCAACATCTAAGTAGATTTCAGCAAAAGAATAAAAAAGGACATCCGGTTTAGTTTTCAGATTGCTTTCTCTGTTTGAACTTTTTAGAAATTTTTTCTAGTAATACATGCTGTAAAGTAGAAAGTGAAAGTCCCCATTTCTGACATCTAGTGTTAATAACTCTTAACAGTTGATGTTTAACTTATCTCTTAGGAATTAGTTTAATTAACCATATTAAACTATGATTTTTTATTTAATAACTGCTAATTTCCCTTTAAAGATCAGCTGTACACAGTTATTCATTTAGAGGCATTTATTACATCAAAAATTACAATAATAGGGCTGGAGTTGTGGCTCAGTGGTAGAGCACTTGCCTAGCATGTGTGAAGCACTTTGTTCAAGTCTCAGCACCACGAATAAATAAAATAAAGGTTCACTGACAACTAAAAGAACTTTTTTTAAAAAATTGGGGCTGGGGTTGTGGCTTAGCAGTAGAGCGCTCGCCTAGCATGTTGGAACTGAGATATTTTGAGATAGGGACTTGCTAAGTTGCTCAGGGCTTCATTAAATTGCTGATGCTGGCCTTGAACTTGAGATCCTCCTGCTTTCCTTCACTTCCCAAGTGGTGAGGATTACAGGCATGTGCCACCATATCCAGCTAGGAGTTCTTAATATATTCTAGTTATCAACTCCTTATTAGATAGGTGTTGCACATATTTTCTCCTATTCTGTAGGTTACTTTTTCATTCTGTTGATAGTATCCTTTGATGCACAAAAAGTTTTAGTTTTGATGTCTCTGGTTTGGATATCATTTCTGAGAAATCATTGCCAAATTTAAAGTTGAGAAGCTTTCCAAATCCTGTTTTCTTTCGAGAATTCCTAAATTTTTTTTTTAGCTCTTAGTCTTTTGTACAGTTTTAAGTTACCATTTGTGCTATATTTACTGGAATCTGAGAACCATAATTATTTGATGTATCATGAAATGTTTAAAAAAATGATACACAAACAAGCTCTTTTAGCAAACAGAAAATTTACTTTGATTCTTTTTGCCCTTTAATTTGCATTTTTAGTCTATTTGACCCACCAAATTCTATCTTGATATGTTATGCTTGAAAGTTATTTATCAGCCAGCTTTTCATTTTTTTAAAACAGAATTTGAAAATTTTCCCTATTTTTCTATGACTGTAGGCTCCAAGAAATAAAACTTGTAGGTCAAGTTAGCATAATTAATAATAATAAATTAAAAAACAAAAACATCTGTTTTGATTAGAAAGGACTAAAGCTAGAAAATAAAATTTTATTAGTCTCATATGAAGTCTCCCTACGTATCCAGCTAACTCATGTATTTGTTATTGATGAAGACAGTGTTCAATTCTGTTTCTTATAAATATAAGCAATGAGAAAACATTGTACATATAACTAAGTAGATATTAATGAAAGGAGTTTTGTTTGATAGTGTCACTCAGTTTTTCTGGCTTAATATTTCAAAAATCACTTTCAAAAATTTATTTTTGTCTCTTAGCTTTATTAGGTCTCTTGTCAATTTTGTTGAAAGCAAGTATTAGAAACTTTCTAACAAAAAGCTAGGTGTGGTGGTACACACCTGTAATCCCAGCAACTAGGGAGGCTGAGACAGAAGAATCATAAGTTCAAAGCCAGCCTCAGCAACTTAACAAGACCCTGTCTCAAAATAAAAAGGACTGGTCTGGGGATGTGGCTTAAGTGGTAGCACACTCGCCTGGCATGTGTGCGGCCCAGGTTCGATCCTCAGCACCACATACAAACAAAGATGTTGTGTCCGCCGAAAACTAAAAAATAAATATTAAAATTCTCTCTTAAAAATAAATAATAAAATAAAAAGGACTGAGGGTGTGACTCAGTGGTTAAGTGCCCCTAGGTTCAATCCCTGGCACCAAAAAGAAAAAAAAAAAAGGAAAAAACTACCTAACAAGTGAAAGGATTTGCCAGGTGGCTTGCTACTCACTCACTCAGTTTCCAAACACCTTACCTTAGTATTTTTTTTTCCTTTGGCTTTATGAAAGTTTTTAATGCCTTGAGGCAGTCCTGAATCTGAATGAGGTGGATTCTGAATGGGTGAGTGATAGGACTTTATTTTGTAAAGTGGAAGAAAGACAAATGAATGGGGTGCCTTGTGCAAATTGTTTTTAAGAAAAAGTACATAGGGAAGTTGAGAATCTGGAAATAGATTCCCTGAAGATATTCCATGGAAGGTCTTAGAGCTAAAGTTATAGGTAATAACAGCCACCTGTAGAAGAGCCACGTGATGCGATATCTTGTCTTGCTGTTTAAGTGAAGGTTTGGAACACTTGATGAAGGTGTAGATATTCTTTTTTCAAATATCCTTAAAATGAGCACACTGATAACGGTGCTAACAAATCATATGAATCATTTAATATTTTACGAACTCCAGGCTAATTTTTAGATAAATTCTTGTGGCATAAAAATCCTTACTTTAGTTGTGAACCAACAAAATATTTCTGCCCCAAACCAAATTAAATGCCCTGATAAAATTTAACAGCAGAGTAAAGCTGGGAAGGGAGTGGGGCAGGGGCTCATTTGAAAAAAAAAAAAAATCAGTTGTGGAACTCCACTATCTGGACTACTTGTTATGAAATAGAACCATAAGTCAGGAATAAATCTTATATTAACTATTTCATAGACATTGCTGATATTTGTTTATCAGGAATTTTTTAGTTTAGATATGAAAGTGATCCTGCACTGACAGTAGTCGTAACAGTTGTAATCGGAAAAAATGCTTCAGAAATTGAATTGGGGATTTTGCCTAAAGAAAAACTTAGATGGCTTTCTTAATTTTTTTTTAAAGGATGGGTCTTCGGTTAAGGAAGTTGAAACCTACCACCGGACGCGTGCTTTAAAGTCGTTGAGAAAAAATGCCCAGACTTCTTCAGATTCTAGTTTTGATAAGAATATGGAAATAACAGAGAAGCATGCTAATGGCAGGCATTTTACAAGGTAATACAAAATGATTGACTAGTAATTCAAAATAGTTTTAAAGTAGTAATTAAAGATTTACATTTAATTTTTAAAATGTTTTTGACCAGTTATCAATATTCCAGCATAATTTATTTAAAATGAAATTGCCACAAGTGAATGTTAATGAACTAAAAGTTGATTATACACACAGTTTTATTTTTTGTTTTCTTGCTCAAAAATGGCATTTGTGATATATGAGTGAAGCTGACAAGTAGTTAAAACTTAGTGATTATAACTTGCTCATGATTTGTAGTTCTGCTTCAGTCCAAACAAAGCCTTCATTGAAAATAGTTCTATTTCTGATTGCTTGCTATCAAGTTTTTCATCAGTTGTACATTTCTGTATGTTTGTGTGTTTATTTCTCTAAAACCCTGAGTAGTTGGCATAAATCCCATCTTCAGGAATCAATTTCAGTGAATTAGGTAGTGTGGTGAAGTTTGTGGAATCAGAGTGAATTTGGTTCAGGGAATTTAAAGCTTAGTTTAGTTTAGAAAATTTACTTAAAAAAATGTTTTGATGGGGTTAACATAAATGGGGGGGGATCCTCCAAAAAATTTGTTTAATGAGATGCTTGTTTTTACATGGTCTTCTCATAATTAATTTCTAATGATTTACAAAACATGAATCCTCCTGCTCTGAAATCAAATTTTCTAATTTTAAAGCTTCATTTTAAACTTTTTTAGTTGTAGGTGGACACAGTACTTTTATTTTATTCATTTTTATGTGGTACTGGGGCTGGAACCCAGTGCCTCACCTGTAAGCACACTACCACTAACCATAGTTCCAGCCTGGAATTTTCTTATTTTATGTAATATATTTTTCAGATAAATGATGTTATGCTTTTTTGAGTCTTTGAGCTTTTGTTATTTTTCCACTTAATTGTGTATTTTAAAATTTGCTTTATTTCGTTCATTATTTGTGGAGTGTTTACTACTGTATTTATGGAATCCACATTATCAGCCATACATACAATCAGTTGTAAAACACATTCCAGTTTCAGAGATATTAAAATGGAGAGAAGGAGTTGGTATACATCTATTATCTCAGCAACTTAGCAAGACCATGCCTCAAAATGGAATGTAGCTTACGTGCCCTGGGTTCAAACCCAAGTACCTAAAAGGTAAAATAAAATAGGGAAAGGGAATTGCAACTTTTAGAATCCATAAAATATACTATAAAGCCCATTATTTCTGAGTCTTGAAATCTTCTATTCTTAAAGCTGATGAAGTGGTCTATGAATTCTCTTTGAGTAATTATTTTTTATAATCTCAAGAAAAATATAAACATTCTGCGTTGTTGAAAGTTCTCATACAGAGAATGGCCATAAAATCCTAGGCCCTGTATTTGTGTTTTATAGTAAGTTGGCATCAAATACTACTGCCTTAGTTATCTCAGATTTATGAGTTAAGAGTCTGACCTTAATATCATAAATGATTCATTTGCTTCCAAGGAAGACCACCTGATATGGTGTCATGACATGATATGTAAATGAACATTTGGAGCACTTCAAGTAGAGCAGTGGATGACTTGAGTCATCAGGACCCACAGCAGAACATAACAAACGTGATACAGAATAAAATAAAACAGAAACTAGGAGAGGAAATATTAGCATGAGCATATTATGTTAATATTTTTTTGTTAGTAGTTGGTTTTACAGATTTTATGTACATAAAACAAAAATAAGCTTTATTTGGCTTTACAAAGTCATATAAAAATTTTAGTGTTGAAGTTGTCAAAAGTTTTTACCTTTAAGACAATCCGTTTATTATTCAGGAAATCTATTAAGGGAATGTATTCAATTAATTGCTTTTTTAAATCTGAATTTAAAGGTGAATATGTTAGTATTTTTAAATTAGATTTCTTCTAAAATATCTTTTTTTAATATTTATTTATTAGTTTTAGGTGGACACAATATCTTTCATTTTTATGTGGTGCTGAGAATCAAACTCAGTGCCCCACACATGCTAGGCAAGCACACTACCACTTGAGCCACATCCCTAGCCCCTTCTAAAATATCTTGAAACCCTATTTTAAAAATTGTTATTGAGATATAGTTCACATACCAGAAAATTAATGATTGTAAAGTATGAAAACTGTGGTTTTAGTACACTGACAATAGTATGCAATTATCATTATCTAATTTCAGAACATTTCATCAACCCCAAAAGACATTTTGTGTCTATTAGACCCCCTTAACCCCTGCCTGTCTCATCTCTTTGGAAGCATGATCTACTTTCTCTGTAGATTGACTGTTCTGGTCATTTATATAAATGGGATTATACAATATGACCTTTTATGTCTAGCTTCTTTCGTTTGGTATAGTGTTTTCATATATGTGGAATTTATCTGTATTTAATGTTTTCAGTTGCTGAACAAGATCCCATTGTATGCATATATGCCATGTTTTTGTTTATTCATTCACCAGTTAATGGGCATCGATTTATTTCCATTTTTGGCTGTTTTGAATAATGATATAAATATTGATATACCAATTTTGGGATCCATATAGGTTATCAATTCTTCTGAGACTATATCTGGAAATGGGACTTCTGGGTCAAATGGTAATCCTAACATTTTGAGGAACTGCTTAACTATATTCCAAGGCAGCTGTGCCAATAATATTTGAGGGTTCCTGTTTCTCTATCATTGCCAATGCTTATCATAATCTGTCTTTGGTGTTAAGCTGTTCTTGGGGTTCTGATTTGGATTTTCCTGGTGGCTAAATAACATTGAAGTGTTTGTTTATTGTCCATTTACATGTCTTCTGTTAAGAATTCCTATATATTGGTCATCTTTCATCTCCCTATATTCAGATCGTTATTACAAATATTGTTTATTGAGTTCTCCTCTTGTACTTTTCCAGTTTCTTACCCTTTTTACTTTTGCCAATATTCTACACTCTGCTTATCTATTCCCTTCCTTCCTTCCCCCTTGCCCCAAAGATCAGAGAACCAAGATGGTTAGAAAAATACAGAAAGATTTGAATAACTATACCATGAAAATGGGATCTATATATTTCTTTGATCCTAAGGTTCTTAACTAGAGTCCAGTGATCCATGGCTTTCATCAGATTTGCAGGAGTTGACAAAGTCCAACCACTTGACTTTGTAAATAATTCATTGGAACACAGCTGTGCCTGTTCATCTTATCTATGGCTGCTTTCCTGCTATAATGTCAAGTAGTTGTGACAGACTGTGTGGCTAGTAAGCCAAAAATATTACTATCTCACAATGTAACAAAACGTTCACCAGTTCCTACAAGGATAGAAGCATTTCCCTTCCCTGTAGGCCAACAGAAAAAAGAAAAAGTTAATATACTGCTTTAATCATTGTGCTTCCAGCTTCTTATATGAAATGGAGGGAGGGGCTCCTTTAGGAGAAAAGTCCATGAGCCTATGAATGAACTAAGCCTTTGAATTGCCCCAGAGTATTTTGGTTTTGGTTCTTACCTGTGTTCAAGAGAGGTACGGAATTAATGATGATTTACATTGTTATGAAAATATATGAATTGACTCATAGGGATAAGATGATTTCATTTTTATCTTAAAGTATAATATTTAAAATTCCACATGTATAAACTTAGCCCACTTGCCAATAGCTTGATATATCGGATGATTAACAAATACATCCTGTCCATGTATAGAAAATTGAGTCACCAAAAATAGGTTAATAAGATATGGTATTTCATTTGCTCAGTGAATTTTTTAAAAAAGATAAAGATGAATACTATTTTTATTATTATTATTTTTTTTTAATTTGGAAAGTTGGGCAGGGGTTGTGGCTCAGTGGTAGAGTCCTTGCCTACTAAGTGTGAGGCACTGGGTTCAATCCTCAGCGCTACATAAAATAAATAAATAAAAGATATTGTGTCCATCTACAACTTAAAAAAAAAATTGGAAAATATTCATTCCAGTTCAGTACATTCTGCCAGCCATTTTACAGGTGTGATATCTGATTCACAAATGGAACTTTTTCTACATGTGAATGACAATAATGGATGTTGTGTAAAGACAGTAGTCACCAAATGTTCTTGGAAAGCAGTCGATATGTCACTAGGAGCATTAGTTCTATTTATATTTATAAATTCCTCAAAGATATGGGACTAGTATATCCCTGTGGTATAAAACACATGGTATTGTTTTTGCACAGTGCATAGTTCACCTAGTTAAATACTTGACAAAGGATTTCAATTCTTGTTTCAAGTAAGTAACTTTGCTTTGAATAATTCTGTTTAAAAGCTAATGCATTTATCGTTGAATTTAAAAACGGGATTGTTAGATGTTGTTTAGCCATAACTTACATAAGCATAGGTATTTTCAAACTTTTTTTTTTGAGATTTTACATATCTGAATATTTACTCTGCAGGCAGATTTAACTTCTCATTTTATAGTGCTACAGAATATAGAACTCACAGTTATGTCAACTGTTTTGAATTATTTCATATATTTTTTCATATAGACAGTTGGCCAGACAGCAGGCTAATAAAAAAAAAGAAGAGTGCAAAGAAGGTAAGTAATGTTAATGACATTTCAGATTTTTAAAATATGTAATTAATATTTTGTTTACAGGCTTATTGAGTTATGTACAATAACGTGTACATATTTAAAATGTACAGTGTGTTAGGTTTTGAGTATATGCATGAAGCCTTCACCACAATAAGATAATGAAGATAACATGACCTCCCAAGAAGTGTTTTCAGGACCCTCTTTCTTTCAGTTCCTGTCTTCATAACCCACCCCCTATTCCAAAGCAGCTTTTTGTCACTATAAATCTGCTTTCTGTCACTATTGATTAGTTTGTATAATTTAGAGTTTTATAGAAATGGAGTCATACAGCATGTATTCTTTTGTATTTGGTTTCTTTGTGGATTATTTTATTTTGTTTTGGAATTGGGAATTAAACCCAGAGGTGCTTCGCCACTGAACTATATCCCCACCCTTTAAACATTTTTTTTTTTTTTTTTTAATTTTGAGGCAGGTCTCACAAAGTTGCAAAGGGCCTTGCTAAATTGCTAAGGCTGGCTTCAAACCTTCAATCCTCCTGCCTTAGCCCCACAGCCATTGGAATTATAGGTCTACGTGACCATGTCTTGCTATTTGATTTCTTTCACTCAACATAATTACTTTGAGTAGCACCCCATGTTTTTGCTTTTTCTTGCTGGGTATAGTAAATTATATACATATACCATAATTTATCTTTGCATCTTTTTATGAGCTTGAGTTGTTTCCAGTTTGTGGGCTATTACAAATTGTCGCATCTCTTTCTTCTCTTGGGAATGGAAGGACTGCATTACATAGTTGATATGTGTTGTAACTTTACTTTTGTTTTCTGATATTTTTAAGAATGGTAAGTTTAAGATACTATAATTTGGGGCTGGGGATATAGCTCAGTTGGTAGAGTGCTTGCCTCACACAAGGCCTTGGGTTCAATCCCCAGCACCACAAAAAAGAAAAGATACTATAATTTGCCAGATGCAAGTTTAGTTATTCTGTTGATTTATTTTAAATACTTTTTTTAAGTTAGAATCTTTCTATTTATTTTTATGCATATGTGAAGACAAAGTGATTCCAGTTACTCGTTCATTGAGGACTAGAAACATTGTTCAAACTACAGAACATTTGCACGAAGAGAATGGTGATGTTGAAGTTCGTCGAAGTTGTAGGATTAGAAGTCGTTATAGCACTGTGAACCAGTCTGTGCTATTTGACAAACTTATAACAAAGTAAGTGGAAATTCCTCAAGTCGAGGTGATTTATCAGGCAAAAACTTTTTATTAAAATTTGTTTTTGCTTCTCTACCCTTAAGTGTCCATCAAAAGCTCTGTTGTGCTTCTTATCAGCCTTTCTCAGAATCAGCACATGCTACTCAGGGAAAGAGTGGTCTGAAAAGCCATACTCATCTCTCCACCTTATTAATATTTAGATACACTAAATACATATCTTTTATGTTTTATCCAGTTTTTCTAATTTTTCAGTTGGGGTTTAAATCCAAATTACTTTACCTAACATGATCAAAACTCGAACTCCTTCAGAAATAGATTTAATGTACTTAATATTTTAAGGGGTATAGAAGTGCTGTTTTTCCCATTTCCCTCCATTATGGGATAGACCCACACAGAATTTTTGCTTCTAAAATATACATTCTCGGGCTGGGGGTATGGCTCAAGCGGTAGCGAGCTCACCTGGCATGCATGCGACCCGGGTTCGATCCTCAGCACCACATACCAACAAAGATGTGTCCGCCGAGAACTAAAAAATAAATATTAAAAATTCTCTCTCTCTCTCTCTCTCTCTCTCTCTCTCTCTCTCTCTTTAAAAAAATAAATAAAATAAAATATACATTCTCCAAAATGTTTGAAGGTGACATGCATTTTCAAATAAAATGGTAACACCTTGTTAAACTCTAAAAAAGAAACTTTTTATTAAAGAAAGATCGTGAATTTTTGTCATCCTAAACATTTAATACCTTTGGTTTTTATAAAGCATAAAGGAGATTGGATATTAGAGGCCTTTGTAATAACTCTATATGTATTTAAAAATGTTTTTATGCAAGTGATTTGTTTTTTTATTGAAATATGTTTATTAAAATTTTTAAAGCACTGCTGAAGCTGTACTTCAAAAAATGGATGACATGAAGAAGATGCGTAGACAGCGAATGAGAGAACTTGAAGACTTGGGAGTTTTTAATGAGACGGAAAAAGTAAACATATTTTCATTAAGGGTGTGACTTAATCGCCTATTTAATTTTTTTTCTCTAGTATATAATCCATTTATGGTTAAAATTAGTCATCATTTTATATAGCATTTGTTTGATCAGTCACTTATGACTAGAGGTCTAAGAGTTTATAGCTCTAAATATCTTATAAATAAATAAAATAAAGGTCCATCTAAACGAAGAAAATATTTAAAAATAAGAAAGAAAAATTGGGTGCCGGTATAGTGGTGCACACCTATAATTCTAGTGACTCAGGAGGCTGAGGCAGGAGAATCACAGGTTAAAGTCCAGCCTCAGCTACTTAGGCCCTAAGGAACTTAGTGAGACACTGTCTCAAAATTAAAAAAAAAGGGGGGGGGGCTGTGAGTGTAGCTCAATGGTACAACACCCCTGGGTTTAATCCCTACTACCAAAAAAGAAAGAAAGATTGGGGAAGTCTTAATGAATTTTTTATAAATGTTTTACATTAATGGCTTTCATTTAAACTTTTGTAGGGCAATCTTAATATGTACACGAGAGGAAAACAAAAAGGTATTCAAAGAACTGATGAAGAAACAACTGATAATCAAGAAGGCAGTGTGGGTTAGTTTTTTCTCTTATTCCATTTTCTGGGTTTGAATTTAAGTACTTTTTATTTAGTAGGAAATAGCCCTTTTATTCAGAAACTGACATTTATGGTAGTTCCTGAGGGTCATAGGATTGGTTGTAACTTAAAAGAAGTAGGGACAAGGGAGAGCTTAAAAGGAGAGTATGTTTTGTTTCAGAAAGTAACTGAAAGCAATAATTCTAAGACAATGTTATTTTGCTTTCATAATATATTTATAGACAACACATATCTATTTTAATTAAAAGATGATAAAAGTTAAGTTTTGCAATTCCATTTAGAACTTACTAGCATAATCTGTATTTTTTAATGAGTGTACTCCAGTTTTCTGAAATGCATTTTAAATTTTGCTGAGGATGTTTTATCATTATCATAAGTAAATTATTTGATTTGTGCTACATGTAATTCAGTGACAGCCAGGAGGGCTAGACAGAATATCAAATTTAAGTTTTAAAGGCAAAAGTAAGTGAGGAGATGTTAAGACTAGTCAATTGCTACATTATCTTGGAAGCTTAAGTATAATTGCCTATGTTAATAAAATTTGCAATAACATTGTAAACTTCAATTTGGTGCTTATTAATAGAAGTCTTCACACTTTTTTCCCTTCCTCTGATGATTTTAATTCTAGAATTTTTTACTTCCTTAAAAAGAAATCTTTAATGTTGCAAAAGAATCACAGGTTCTTTCTATGATCAGTCTCAGTGTAGATAATTTTTAGAAGGGTATCTCCTAACTTGCTATGTTAAAACTTAACACATTGGTGAGTATCCTTCTAGAAGTGTTTCTTAATTATAGAATCATCTGAAGAGGGTGAAGACCAAGAAGATGAAGATGATGGTGAAGATGAAGATGATGATGATGAAGATGAAGAGGATGATGAAGATGAAGAGGATGGAGAAGAAGATAATCAGAAACGATATTATCTTAGACAGAGAAAAGCAACTGTTTACTACCAGGCTCCATTGGAAAGTTAGTGTCATTCATACATACTTTTTGCAGGAGATGATTTGTATCAGCTTTTTCTTTACTGTTCCTTATTTGTTTTTGTATTTTCCATATTTTCATTTTGCTAAATATTCATGACTGTTATGTTAAACTATCCTAATTTTTTAAGAAATCATTTTTTTCCAAAGAAAGTTAATTTTAGCCTTGCATGAAGCAAATAATTGAGCTATTTTGAATTTTCATATCTTTCAGATTCATACCTTTCTTCTTAATTTGTCAGTTTATTTAACCTTAGTATTTTGTAAGTGTTCATGGGCAGTGCTGATGATTACCTGTTATGTATCTGCATAACAATGGCTGTTTATGGCCATTATTTGTTTTAGTTGGTTGGTGTCTGTGTTATGCATATTTTCAGCAGCAACCCTGCAGACATAAATGATATAAGATGTATATTCCATAGTAGATATTTGTTAGTATTTTCATAGAAAACAGCACCTTTGTAAGTATTTTAATGAAGAGTAAAGTTATCTTCATTTATATGTATATTATATTTATATATATATATAATATATATACACACACACTCTTTTAATTTTAATTTTATTTTCCCCCAGAACCTCGTCACCAGAGAAAGCCCAACATATTTTATAGTGGCCCAGCTTCTCCTGCAAGACCAAGATACAGATTATCTTCTGCAGGACCAAGAAGTCCTTACTGTAAACGAATGAACAGGTGTGGTTCTGAAATAATCAACAATTAATGATAATGTGATTGTTAGGGTAGGATTCTAGAGTCTTTGGATTGAGTGTATTAGAAAAGAATTCTAGAACTGCATATTTGGAATAGTACTTTTTAGCACTCTACTCCCTAGTACCACTGACTAGTTTTTATTTTTGCTTCCACTAATGGGAAGTGTTAATGGTCATCTTGATAAGGTATTCTATACCACTGTTCTGTACTTGAATAAGAAGTTACCATTATATTCCCAGCTATGTTAAGCATTTTATATAGATTGTTTTATTTAATCTTCACATTTAGAGGATAGGTTTAATCTTCACATAGTATTACAGATATATTTTCCCACCATGAAAATGTTCTAAGTTATATATCTTCTAGACTTATTATGTTTTTTTTCTGGGTGTATTTGTTTCCCTTGTATTTTAAGAAACATTTATTTTCTTTAATTATTAAAATTATTTGCGTGTTTCTTTTTCTTCCGCATTTAAATAATTGTTGCTAATCTATCAAATTTAAGTCCAAAGAGGCTATGAGAGGTTTCATTCTTCTAAGAAATGAGCGTTCCCTGATGGATTGGAACAATTGGGATTATAGTAGCATTATGGTGGTTCATCAATGAGAGAAAAAACTAAAATGGTGGCGGGTGAAAGTTGGTGTAGAGGGGCTGGGATTGTAGCTCAGTAGTAGAGCTTGCCTCTCACATATAAAGACTGGGTTTTGATCCTTAGCACCATGTAAAAATGAAGGTATTGTGTCTATCTACAACTAAAAAAAAAAATGTAAAGTTGGTACTTTTCCTTCATTAAATGGAACATTAATTTATTCCAAAGTAAGACTGAAATCTTTGTAGATTTCAACTATTTGAACAGTTCTGAGAAGTCTCATCAAAACAAATTGACTGTTTTGGTCATGGAAGATAGCAAGCACCTTAGTAAGTACTGAAGAGACATCTTTTAGGAAAAATAAGAAATATACTTGTGTCTGAGACATTTCAATTCATTACCAGAATCACAAGCATACATTTTACATTTTTAGATTTCTTTTTCCATCATCCCTTTTGCCTGATTAGAGCTCAGAAGGATAGAGGATCAGGAAGGCAAACTCAACCTGTCGGTTTCTTATGATAATTGTACTTGAAGGGAGGCTTCATTTCCTTATCTTGATGGGCCCCCAAGAATATTGTTGAAGACTCGTTTTGATAGTGAAATATAATGGTCATTAGGAAAAGAGAAGGTATAATATTTACTGGAATCCCTACCACCACAAAGCTTCGGGGTTAGGATAGCAACTATCCAACTCAAGGGGCAGGCCTGTACTTGATCCAGCAGAAGAACAAGACTAGCAGTTACCTTGAGATTCAATTTCTTCTCATGTTTTGAATGGATTTATGATTCTGGAAGTAACATTTATTGATAAATTATCTCTACAGTTAACACCTATAGTGTATTTTAGAGAAAGTTTATATATATATTAGTTGGACACAATACCTTTATTTTTTCGTGGTGCTGAAGATCAAACCCATGGCCTCACATGTGTTAGGCGAGTGCTCTACCACTGAGCTACAACCCAGCCACAAGAAAGTTTTTTTGTTTTGTTTTGTTTTTTTAAAACATTTGGTCTCATGTGCTTCCTTATTTGGTTCCTGGGGTCTGGTCTTTGCCTGTGAAAAATGTTTTATATTGTTGAGTAGTTCCTTGCTATAGATATATTCTTCCTCTCCAATTATTTAACGAATGTTTGAGTGCTATCTGGTGCCAAGCAAAACAGTAAAAATGACTTAGGCAGAATTCCTGCCTATGGCTCTCATAGACTAATGGAGGATTCTTAAACATTTAAGTTAGAGCATGAACTTAATAGAGTTAAGCTGTCTTGAGTCACATTAGTTGACTTGCTGACTTTCTTGGTGGTTTCAATAACCTCTTTAAACTTATTTTTGTATATGTTCAGAGTTGTGCATCTGTCACCAGTCTGTTTTTAAAACATTTTCATCACTTCAAAAAGATCACTTTAATGATCACCTCCAGTCTCTCCATTCCCCCCAGCCCTAAGCAACCACAAATCTAATTTCTATCTCTATAGTTTTGCTAGTTTTATGTATTTCTCATAAGTGGAATATCTTGTCACTAGCTTCTTTCACATGGTTTAACCTTTTCAAGGTTCATCCATGTTTCTCCATGTATCAATATTTCATTCTTTATTTTAATGTCAAGTAAGATTTCATTATATGGACATAGCATGTTTTGTTTATCCTTTATCGGTTGATAAATGTGTATTTCACTTTGGCTATCACGAATAATGCTATTATAAACATTCACATGCAAGTTTTTGTGTGAACATATGTTTTCACTTTTTTGGTATATAATTCCATTGGAGTGGAATTGCTGAGTCAAATGCTAACTATATTTAATGTTTGAGGAACTGCTACATTGTTCTCCAAAGTGGCTACTCCATTTTATATTCCCACAAGCAGTTTAGGAGGGTTCCAAATTTTCTATATTGAATGTAGCCCTTTAAACTTTTTCTTTCCTTTAACTTTCTTGTTAAGCTGATGTAAGGATCTCATATCTTCTAACAGCCTTGATGATGTGTAGTCATTTTGCTCATCCTTTTTACTTGAAGATACTAGCTTGTTTATAGCTCATGTACTACTTCAGCTACTGAGGCATAAAAGTAAAGCACATCTCCAAAGCAGCATTTGAACATTGCTGTTAGTATCTACGAGTTGTTAAGAAACCTTGCAGCACCAGAAGAAATTATACTTCAAACCATCTTTTTTAAACTTACTTATTTATTCTAATTTGTTATACATGACAGCAGAATGCATTTCAATTCATAGTACACATGTAGAGCACAATTTTTCATTTCTCTGGTGGTATGCAAAGTGGAGTCACACCATTCGTGTCCTCATACATATACTTAGGGTAATGATGTTTATCTCATTTCACCATCCTTCCTGCTCTCAGGCCCCCTCCCTTTCCCTCTCTCCCTTTGCCCTATCTAAATTTCCTCCATTCCTTCCATGTTTCCCCTCCACCCCCATTATGGATCAGCATCCACATATCAGAGAATACATTTAGCCTTTGCTTTTTTGAGATTGGCTTACTTCACTTAGCATGATATTCTCCAAGTCCATCCATTTACCTACAGATGCCATGATTTTATTCTTTTAATGCTGAGTAATACCCCATTGTGTATATATACCAAAGTTTCTTTATCAATTCATCTTTGAAGAGCATCTAGGTTGGTTCCACAATTTAGCTCTTGTGAATTGTGCTGCTATCAACATGGATATGCTATCAATTGTGCTGTGTCACTGTAGTATGCTGCATTTCTTAATGAACATTTGATGGTCAGCTCTACCATAGCCTCTTTTCTTCCCTTTTTCAGCTATCCAAGTCTTTTATTACCTTCAAATATTCAGTGTGTCAAAATGCATTCTACTGTCATGTGTAACTAATTAGAACAAATTAAAAGAAGAAAACAAACCTTATAGCCATAATGCAGAGTCTTCCAAGGGTCTCTAGGTACACTTGCCATAGTGGAGCTTTAAGAATGCTGCCTTGAAGCAGAATTCTCTTCCTTATGAGCGTTAACATCTAGTAATTTAAGTTTTATTTTTTTCACTCTAGATTCTGGAACAAAGCTCACCCCTTAGAATCATAAGGTAGCATAATAGCCAGTTGCTTCGTGAGTATTTCAAAATCATACTTATCTGTTAAAGAACTAGAACTGGCAAGAAGTCGAAGCTCTGGCTAGGTTCAAAGTGCTGGTCTAGTACTTGTCTATGCCAGGTTTTTCCATGTTTTTTGTAGGGTGGTGGAAAAAAATAAGTGGATATGGGTATTTGTGTTTCACATATTTTTAAAATTGAAATAATGGTCTTTCTACAATATAGAATGATCACTAAGAACCTGCACTTGTAACTAGGACTGTCTGGGTTTGGAGCTGAGCTCTACCACTTGTTAGTGACCTTTGTCAAGTTATTTAACCTCTCTATGATTCTGTTTTTTGATCTGAAGAATGGGGACAATAGCACCTATCCCATAGTATTGTAAGAATTAGAATTAATACACACAAAGCCTTTAAAATAGTGTGGCATTTATTAAGTGCTTTATTGGTTTGCTATTTTAACTTTTATGTTTCTTTTGTTTTTGTGGATTTTGTTTTGTTTCATTTTGTTTTTCTATTGGGAATTATAAACAAGGTCTGGATAGTTGCTTAGGACTTACTAAGTTGCTGAGTCTGGCTTCAAACTTGATCCTCTTCCCTCAGACTCCAGAATTGCTGGATTACAGGTGCACTTCCCTGCACTTAGCCTGATGTTTAAAATTAATTTCTACTTTGCAAATCAAACATTGAAAACCTTATGTTGAGCCATAAGATTTTTTGTTGTTTGCTTCTAACTACTGGTTTGTGAAAAAACTAGAATTCACCAGTGTATTGTTTACAATGTGGATTTTTGAAATAGACATAGTTTTGAATTCTGGCACCGTAATTTATTCTATGAGCCATGTTGACCCCAACTGTAAAATGATGTGCTTGTCCAAAAATTTAATTAAGATTGAATGAGATAACTTGTCAAGCAGGAACAGAAAGGAGTTAGTAAATATATGCTTTTAATAGTCTTAATGTGGATGATTGGAGAATTATTTTCTCATTTATTTCTGGGTTTTCATAGATCCTTATGAAAAAACGTTGGAACCATTTGTGTTTCAGAATTCAGATTTTGGGGGTGTATTTACAGCATACAACATATGTAGTATGTAACATTAACATCTCTAGAGGTGTCTGAGCCAGCACTGCATATAATTACTGCATTACTATATAATTCTGTAGTAATAAAATTTTAAATAATGGTGGCAACTGGGACAAATTGAGACTATAAATTGCCTGGTGTTAGTTCAGGTCATATATTCTAGAGCTAAGTAGATAGTTTACAGATTTTTTTTTTTTTTGTATGGAAGATTTTGGACATGCATTATGAAGGTAATAGATGAAGATACCTACTTTCCATGATTGTTTTCTTGATTCAGGAAAAAATTCTAGACCTAAGTCAATGGAATAATTAAAGAATATGTAGCCAGAGGGTTTTTTGTTTTGTTTTGTTTTTTAATTTTGAGACAGGGTCTCCCTAAGTTGCTTAGGCAAGTTGCCCAGCCTGGCCTCAAACTTGCAATTCTCTTGTCTCAGCCTCCCCAGTTGCTGGGGTTTCAGATGTGCACCACTATGCTTGGCTAGATTCTTTGTGGGTGTTTTTGGTTTTGTTTTTGTTTTTTATGTGAGTCTTTTGCAACTGTCCAAAGGTAAAAGTGATTAAAATATATTTTGTATATTTGTAGCATTTGGCATCTTATTTGTTCTTACCAACCAGCCTAAGAATTTGATAGTATTTTTATCTTATTTTTCTGAAAACTCATATGGACTTGGTAGCTTATCTGTATACACAGTTGTTAAGTGATTGAGTTGTGAATTTACGTTGATGGTATACTATAGATAAAAGGCCATGTTATTCATTATAGCTTTTTAGTTTTTGTTTTGGGCAGTGTTGGGGATTAAATGGAGAACCTCATGCATGGTAGACAAGTGCTCTATCACTGAGCCGTACCTCTAGCCCTCCCAGTTTTTTTTATCTACATAAAGAAAAAACTTTTCAGTGTTACTTGATCTCTCGAAATAGGTGATTTTCTCCCTAATGGGAAATTATATATAATATACTATTGAAAATGCCTTTTCAAATTACAATCATACTCTATCTCATCTTTCTTTTTAAAATAACTGACTATATCAACACTAAGATGTCGGGCTGGGGTTGTGGCTCAGAGGTATAGCATTTGCCTAGCTGAGGCCCTGGGTTCGATCCTCAGCACTATGTAAAATAAAATAAAGATACTGTGTCCACCTATAGCTAAAAAATAAATTTAAAAAAAAAAAAAAAGTCACTTTGCCCAAACCATCTCTTAATGAACATTTGATGGTCAGTTCAACCATAGCCTCTTTTTCTTTTTTTCCCCTTCTTCAGTTATCCAAGTCTTTTATTACCTTCAAATATTAATCAACAACGCTTATTACTTCAGTGGTTCAGCAAATATTTTATGATAAACCTTTTTGGTTCATTGGGTATTTCTAGGCAGGTATCTTACCACTGAGCTATATCCTCAGCTCCATAAGGTGTTTCTGATGCTAAAATCCTATGCCTTTTCCCCTGCCCTACTTATTATGATATCACGTTTCCTCTTTACTTAAGGAGAAGACATGCAATCCATAGTAGTGACTCTACTTCATCTTCCTCTTCTGAAGATGAACAACACTTTGAGAGGAGAAGAAAAAGGAGCCGTAATAGAGCCATCAATAGGTGAGTTGCCATATTGATGACTTTTTGAACTGCCTGATGTTTTTTTCAAGAAGTAGAATTTGGGAGTGGGTATATCTTAGTTGATTAAAAACTTGCATCACATCTTAATGTATATAAACCAGAATACTGTCTTAGAATCATCTATAATTGAATCAAATAATAAGAACATGGAGTTATGATTTTTTTTTTTTTTTTTTTTGCTGAACTGTTAGGTAGCCCATAGTGGTACTTGGTGAACAGTCACTTGAGGGAATATTCTTTTTTTTTTTTGCTTACAGTACATTCTTATTTGAAACTCTTAAGGAAAATTGGAAGATTTATTCATTACATAACTCTGTAGTATAACTCCACCAGCTTATTTGACTTTCACACTAATTATATGAAGTAGAAAGGTCAAGGATTATTCTCATTTTACAGATCTGGTTGGATAAATGAGAATGTACTGCTTGGACTCCAGTAGTAAAATACCATTAGAGTAGAAAATAATGCTAAACAAAATAATCTGAGTATAATAACAGGAGGGGCATACAAAACAACCATTTATTTTATTTTACTTTATTTTATTTTTATTTTTTTAATTTAGAGCCAAAGTCTCGCTAAATTGGTGAGGATGACTGACTTTGAACTTGTGATACTCCTGCCTCAGCCTCCTGGGACACTGGGATTACTGGCATGTGCCATTGCATCCAGCATTCTTTGTATTCTTTTTTTTTTCTTTTTTTAACTGTGGATTATTTTAACATAATTATTTTATTATGTGGTGCTGAGGATCAAACCCAGTGTCTCATATGCAAAATACTCTACCACTGAGCCACAAGTAACCATTCTTGCTAACCTCAAAACTCCATGAGATACTTATCTTTATATATTATTTTTGTATTCTTTATTCTTTTTTTTTTTTTTTTAAGAGAGAGAATTTTTTAATATTTTTAGTTTTCGGCGGACACAACATCTTTGTTTGTATGTGTTGCTGAGGATCAAACCCGGGCCGCATGTATGCCAGGCGAGCGCACTACCGCTTGAGCCACATCCCCAGCCCTATATTCTTTATTCTTTATAGCTTACTCTCTCAGTTAGATCTGCCATGTCTAATACAGTAGACACTTGTCACATGTGGCGGAGCACTTGAAATGTGGTTTGTCTAAATGGGACAGAGTTCATGTTTTTATAAAATATATGCTTAGATTTCAAAGACTTAATACAAAAAGTGTAACATCTCAGTTTTTAAAATGATTGTAGAAATAATATTTTGGATATATAAGGATAAATAAGATATATTATTAAAATTACTTGCATTGTTTCCTTTAAAAATATTTTTTAGTTTTGTTTTGTTTAATAGTTGGGCACAGTACTTTTGTTTTATTTATTTGTTTTTATGTGCCTGAGGATTGAACTTGGTGCCTTGCGGGTGCTAGGCAAGCGCTCTACTGCTGAGCCACAACCCCAGCCCCAGCACTTTTTTTCTTTGTTTAGTAAGATTAACAGAAAATTTAAAAGTGTAGTGGGTGGCTTGCATTTCATGTCAGTTGGACAGCAATGAGTTGGATCATTCGAAAACTATATTTGACTACTTGAATTTTTCTTTGCTTTCATTCATGGAAATGCTAATTGAATCCTCTATGTTTTGTATTATGCTAGTAATATGTTTTTTTAAAAAAAACCTTTTAGCTGGGCACAGTGGCGTACGCCTATAATCCTGGCAACTCAGGAGACTGAGACAGGAAGATCATGAGTTCAAAGCCAGCCTCAGGAACTTAGCGAGCTCTTATCTTCAAATAAAATATGAAAAAAGGCTGGGGATGTGACTCAGTGGTTAAGCCAATGAGTTCAATCTCCAGCACATCCTCCCCCACAAAAAAATACACCCTTTTTTAAAGTTGGGAGTAGGGAGACAGGTATAAGACCTCATGAATATAGAAAGGAGACCATTAGTAGAGAGGAAAGGAATGGGGAAGGACAAAGGGATTTCTTAGGGAATTAAATTAATCATGTACAAATATGCTAAAATGAAACTCACTATTCTGTATAATTAATATGTACCAATTAAAAACAAAAAGAAATATTCTTTAAAAAGCTACAATTGAAAATTTGTTTATCTTAGATTTCACAGTGTAAATTCCTATGGCACTGTTCTCTTGTATAGTTCTGTTGAAGGTAGTTAACAATGTTATATTGACTATTTTGAAATAGCTAGAAAAGAGGATTTTGAATGTTCTTACCACAAAGAAATGATAAATGCATGAGGTGATGAATTTTCTGAATACCTTGGTTTGAAAATTACATATGTACCAAAACTTCACACTATACCACATGAACATGTAATTATTATGTGTCATTTAAAAATGATAAAAAAATAAGTTCTTTAGGGAGTTGAGCTTAACAAGAACTGTCACTTGGAGTGAATCTGGTATGCTTGATGTAGGTTAATTCTCATGTAAGTATCTTCCTTTTACATAAGCAATCTTCATTTTTTAATCTATAAAATGAGCAGGGTTCTTATATTAAACTAGTGATATTATCTTGCTTGAGAAGATTGATATGAATCCACGTGCTGGTTGACTATGAATATTTTGCTGAGAGGTATTATAGTACAGCAGAGTTATTATAGATCTATAGATTAATAGACTGCTTGCATTTGATTCTTGGCTTTACCATTTACTAGTTGGACGACTTTGGGCAAATTAATTACCCTTTCTATGCCTCAGTTTTTTTCTAAAATGAGGAAAATAATAATAGTCTACCTCATTAGAATGTTTCAAGGATTTAATGTAAAGCACCTAAAACAGTATCTGGTAAATGGTAAATACTGTGTATGTTAGACCCAGCCACTATAATGTATATTGTTACTTTCTAAATTCTCCACCATGAATTACTTTGAGGTTCTATGACCTCTTGATTACTTAATGTTTTTCATTAGGTCATATGTCTTTAATAATAAAACTTTGGATACAAATGTTTCTAACTTAAGTTCTATGTGTTTAAAGAAAATGAGGAATTTGAAATACTTGTTAGATTTTTTCAGTTGAATTTTTTTTTTTTTTTAGTACTGGGCATTGAACCCAGGGGTATTCTACCACTAAGCCACATCCCAATCCTTTTTATTTTTTACTTTTTGAGACAGGATCTCACTAAGTTGCCATGGCTGGCCCCAAACTTTCAATCCTCCTGTCTCAAGTCTCCCGAATTGCTGTGATTACAGGTGTGGGTCACCGCAAATATTAAGAAAAATGATAATATTCTAACATTGTTTATGGGGAGAAGAGAGAATTGATAGGTTTGTACTTTTTAAAATCTTTTTTCATAGGTGCCTCCCACTAAATTTTCGAAAAGATGAATTAAGGGGAATTTATAAAGATCGAATGAAAATTGGAGCTAGCCTTGCTGATGTTGATCCAATGCAACTAGATTCTTCAGTGAGTACTATATTTTGAAATGTATACTCGACTTGAACTATAATGTTGTTCTTTAATATAGTTTTTAAGTTTTGTTCGCAGTGCTGAGGATTGAACCAAGAGCACATAGTAGGCAAGCATTCTACCACCAAGTTACAGCTACAGCCCTTCACATTTCCCCCCAGACAGGTTCTCGCTAAGTTGCTGAGGCTTACCTCAAATTTGTGATGCTTCTGCCTTAGTCTCCTGAGAGGCTGAGATTAAAGGCATGCACCACTATGCTCCAGTATTGTAGATTAGTTTTAAAGTTAAGAAAAAAAAAATCTTTATTTTTTTTCATCAGAAATTTTAATCTTTATATACATTTAAAAAGAAAATCTTTCAGTCACAATTAAGATACTGTTACTGGGGCGAGGGATGTGGCTCAAGCAGAAGCACGCTCGCCTGGCATGCGAGCGACCTGGGTTCGATCCTCAGCACCACATACAAAAACAAAGATGTTGTGTCTGCCGAAAACTAAAAAATAAATATTAAAAAAAAAATCTCTCTCTCTTTAAAAAAAAAAAAGATACTGTTACTGAGTTGACTGTGCAGGTAGGAGGGATATTAGGGGCAACATTTTAATTTTGACTCTTAAGTCTAAAATTGTCACTTTTCTCTTCCATTGCCAGGTACGATTTGATAGTGTTGGTGGCCTGTCCAAACATATTGCAGCTCTAAAAGAGATGGTGGTGTTTCCATTACTTTATCCAGAGGTCTTTGAAAAATTCAAAATTCAACCCCCAAGGTAATTAAATTATGCTTTTGATTTTAGACGTAATCTGCTAAATACTATTATTGTTTAATTTTTACACCTTTACTTAATTTTAAACACTGGTTCCTGATTTTTTTTTTCTTATGTAACGTTTCTTCTTGAATAACCCAGTATAGAAAGTTCAGTGTATGTTTTTTTTTTCCCCCTAGTAATGTATAATAAATCAATCAGTTAAACATTGGTGCATTTTAAAGTAAATTTTATAGTTTAAGAAATTAAAAGCTGGGCACAGTAACGTGCATCTCTAATTCCAGAGATTCAGGAGGCTGAGGCAGGAGGATTACTACTTCAATGCCAGCTTCAGTAACTTAAGTGAGACACTGTCTAAAAACAAAAAGGTTGGGGATGTAGCTTAGTGGTAGTGCATCCCTCAGTTCAATCCCCAATACTTCCTACCAAAAAAAATTTAGAAGCTATTAAACAATAACAATGACTTCTTAGAGGACATTTTGGAAGTGCCTAGTTAAGTAATTGAGTGAATTCAAAAAGAAACAACAAACAACTCAACTTTTCTCTATATCTCGCCTATCTTAAAATATACATTTGAACATACATTTAAATTGTATGACTGCAATTGAAGGTAAGAGAATATGATGAACATCTTCCAACTACAGAAAATCATGAATGAATGAAATGAAATGTTTCAAATAAAGGGCTTTATTTTTATTGTCTGTATGTATTTTTATAGTATCAATAATAACTCCCAGGTTTTAAATTGTGCTTTGTGGATTGAAACTATATTACATTTATCTTATATTGTTTTATTCACTAATTATGGACTCATGAACTTGGTTCCTAATTTTTGTTTTAATAGTCTACTTTTTAATGTAGTACTTAAATGTTTAACATATTATTTTACAGAGGTTGTTTGTTTTATGGTCCACCTGGAACTGGAAAAACTCTGGTTGCTAGAGCACTTGCCAATGAATGCAGTCAAGGGGATAAAAGAGTAGCATTTTTCATGAGGAAAGGTGCTGATTGTTTGAGTAAATGGGTAGGGGAATCTGAAAGACAGCTACGATTGCTATTTGATCAGGTATGATATTGAAATTTGCCTACATAGTTCTAATCTATGCAGATGTAATAAGTTTAAGGATTAGATAAACTTTTTGTTTAATCACTCAGAAGAATTATTCCCAATATATAATCCTTCTAGATTAATTTTCTTTGATGTGTTAAGATTACACTGACCTGTAATTAATAGTTTTATAGTTACAGGAGAAATGAATAATTGGATCTAAGTTCTTTGGAGGCCTAGGTCTTACACCTAGTGAGAGTGGTAATCTCATATTTAGAGACTGTAGTATTGAGGTATGTATGAGTACAGGATGTGAAGACAGTTCTGCCCTAGAGTGACTTTTCAGTTTCATACTTCAGAGTGTATCAAAAGCACATTGTGAGATAATATTTTCTGCTCTGAGACATGGCTACAAACTTTTTAAAATCTTGATTTTTTTTTTTTTTTTTAAGTCTCTAAGGGGACTGGGGTATGGCTCAGTGATAGAGCGCCTGCCTGGCATGTGTGAGGCACTGGTTCAATCCTCAGCACCACAAATATAAAGAAAGCAAGCTATTGTGTCTACCTATAATTACAAAGAAAAAAAGTTTTTTTTCTTTATCTTTACTGAAGTTGATTTTTTAAATGGTGACATCTTACTAAATAATGTTTTTCTATTCTGTTTTTCCTCCTAACATGGAGGAAGACTATGTCACTGTCCTCTATTCTGCCTCAACAATTAGTCTTTAATAGATATTTTTATGTGTGTTCCAGTAACTACAGCTTTCTGAAATCTAAGATATATAACCAGTGGTGAATGTATTTCAATTGTTTCCAGTTGAAAACACCAATATAATTAAACTGTTATTATGATTTAGGCTGAGTCCTTGAAACATAGTCCTTGGAAATTGCATTTAGACTTAGAAATTATAAGTAATTATAAATAAATTCTGGTGAATACATTTGAATGTAATGAATTAAAATGCTTTATATTAAATCTACGTATTTGAGGCTTTTTATGGTAACATGTGACCACTGGACCTACTTTTAGGCCTATCAGATGCGTCCATCAATTATTTTCTTTGATGAGATCGATGGTCTGGCTCCAGTTCGGTCAAGTAGGCAAGATCAAATTCACAGGTAAAAGTTTCTTGATGACATTTCTACTTTTCTTACTATATTCTGAGTTGTATTGATGTGATATGAGAAAGAGAATGTTAATGATAAGGAACTTTAAGATCAATAATTTCCCTTTTTGGTAATAAAACCCTAATATATAGTACAAAGAAAGTAAACCTGTTCTGAGTGTCAGAGTGTTCTAATTACAGTATATAAGTCATAGCTACAAAAGATTTAACTCATGATATAGGCCAGTAAAATAAGGTGCATGAAGCGAGATTGGCTAGAGGTAAGATTCTGACTATGTTGGGAAATGTGGTTGAATGTTGAGCACAAGAACATAACCACTTATTTTTAGCTCCAACCTAATTGGTTTGTAGTATTTGAGACTTGAGAAATAGATTTTCTTTCTTTAACTTTACATTAAAAATTTTAAACATCTTAAAATGTTGCCAATTAATTCAGCTGCTTTTAAGACACTGCCTGGGCCAAACAAAATATGTCTTAGGGCATTATTACTTGTTCAAGATTCTAATACATCATTTTAAAGATGAGAAAACTGGACCTTTTCCCCCATGATTAGGTGCTTATCTAAAAGAATACTTTTCCTAAAGCCACAGCCCCACCTTGAATCTAAATTAGTCCCAATTTATTTTTAGTTTTTCAGAGCTTCTTTTCAAATGATCTCATGCTTAAATTGGGTTATCCTAAAGAACATATTGGCATATATTCAAATATGCCAGTGTTTTACATACATAATAGAGAAGATGAACAAGACATAGTAATGTGTTGATAGGTAGGTTTTGTCTTTGTTTTACTTTACTAACATCAAAAATATGTATTCTATTCTGATGGCCTTATACTTTCTTGATGATAGACAATTTCATTTATTGTTGAGTAGATTAAAATGTCTAATAGCATGTTAAAAATAGTTACCTGCCAAGTGCAGTCAGTTGTACATGTCAATAATCCCAGCTACTTGGGAGGCTAGGGCTGGAGAATTGCAAGTTCGAGGAAAGCTTGGGCAGTTTAGTGAGACCCTGTCTCAAAATTAAAAAGGGGGCGGGAGGGCATTAGGATGTAGTTCAGTAGCAGAGTGCCCCTGGATTAAACCTCCCAGTACTGGAGGAAGGAAGTAGAATAAAGTTTTATCTATTCATGTCCTTTAGTAATCAATAAATCTTTTTATATATGATACATTTCATTATCAACCATACTATCTTCGTTGTGTTAATAGGGAGAAACATTTTAAAATGCTACCATCATTTTACAATCAAGTAGATGGACTGTGTGCTATATTTTGGGACAGTTCTAAAGGAATTTTAGCAAGCAAAAACATGCTTTTTTTAGTTGTCGATGAACCTTTATTTCATTTATTTATGATGCTGAGTATCAAGCCCAGTGCCTCACATGTGCTAGGCAAGCATTCTATCACTGAGCTACAACCCTAGCCCAAAAAACATGCTTTTAAGGGAAAATTTCTCATTTTAAGAGAAATTTAGTTGACATTTGCCGGTAAATCGATGGAACTAGAGACTCTTATGCTAATGAAATAAGCCAATCCCAAAAAACCAAAGTTGAATGTTCTCTCTGATATGTGGATGCTGACATGCAATTAAGGAGTGGAGGGAGAGGGAATAGAAGTTCATTGGAGTGGACAAAGGAGAATGAAGGGAAGGATGGGGGATTAGAATAGGAAAGATAGTAGATTGAATTGGATATAACTTTCCTATGTTCATATATGAATACGTGACTAAAGAAATGTCACATTATGTACAAAATGAAAGAATGGATTCCTAATTAGGATAAGTTATACTCCATGTATGTATAATATGTGAAAATACTGTCTGGCTGGGGTTGTGGCTCAGCGGTAGAGCGCTCGCTTAGCACACGTGAGACCCTGCATTAGATTCTCAGCACCACATAAAAAATAAATAAATAAAATAAAGAAATTGTATCCAACTACAACTAAAAAATAAAATATTTTTAAAAATACTGTCAAATATATCTTTAAAAGAACAAATAAATTAAAAATTTTTTAAAGAAATTTAGTATACTTTTTTCATGAAGATTTAAAATATAGAGTAAATGTTTTTGTTAAATTAAGCTTTTTTTTAGAATTTAGCACATTAAAGATAGTTAAGTTATATTTTATATCTCAGTGATGATTTTGTAGAGTAACTCTACTTTGTAATTATGTGAATGTCATTAGAAAGTAAGATCAGCCTAACAGAGAGAATACTTTAGACAGGGTCTTACTAAGTTGCCCAGACTGGGCAACTTAGTAAGCTGTAATCCTCTTGTCTCTGCTTCCTGAGTAGTTGGTTAGGGGTATGCACACCATGCCAGGCATAAGATGAACTCTTTAAAAAAATATTTCTAGCTGTAAGTGTACACAATACCTTTGTTTATTTACCTTTTCAGTTAGTTGTACATGAGTATAGAATGCATTTTTACGCATTGTACATAAATGGAGCACAACTTCTTCCTCTGGCTGAATGTGGTGTAGTGTAATCATACATGAATATAGGATAATGATATCTATCTCATTCCACTGTCCTTCTCCTCCCCATATCCCCTCCCTTCCCCTCATCCCCTCTGCACAATCCAAAGTTTTATTTATTTTTATGTGGTGCTGAGGATCAAACCCAATGCCTCACAAAAGCTGGGTAAGCACTATAGCACTGAGTTATAACCACAGCCCAAGATAAGCATTTTTTAATAAAAAGGAGGCCTAGAAGCAATCACAGTTCAGTATCAATTAAGTATCTCTAAATACTAGGACTCAGAAGAGGTAGCAGATTACAGTACTGAACCAGGAAATAACCTAGAACATCTTGTAATCCCTAAAATTCAAGAAAACAATTGAAGAATATTTAGATCATATAAGAATGATATAGTAATCAATTTTGTAGGGTCTCTAATTTGCCAAACATGGGACAATTTGAGTATCAAGAGTAATAACTATGGGCTGGGTTGTGGCTCATTGGCAGAGTGCTTGCCTCCCACATGTGAGGCACTGGGTTCGATTCTCAGCACTACATATAAATATAAATAAAGGTCCATCAACAACTTAAAAAATATTTTAAAAATAACTATAACAGATTGAAACACATCAACTACAGAAAATCATTAATTTTTAATGATCAATTTTCCTCTGAAAATTGATAAAGGTAAACATTTTTCCTGTCCTATGCAGATCATAATTCAAGATAATTTAATAGTTAGCAAAGTAACAAGTTTTTTTAATAGGAAAGTCACAGCTAATAAATGGGAAAGGAATAATTAAATTAGAAAATCATCATTTTGCTGCTGCTTATAAAATAGTGCATTCAGACCTGTGATTTTTTTAACTAGGGGGAATCTTTTTTTTCTTCCCTTTCTAGAGAACAAATGTCTGGAGACATTTTTTTTATTATCATAGTTGGTTGGGGTTGATTACTAGCATCTAGTAGCTGAAGACGAAAGATGCTGTTAAAAATTCTACAGTTTGGGGCTGGAGTTGTGGCTCAGTGGTAGAGCGCTTGCCTCATACATGCGAGACCCTGGGTTTGAGCCTCAGCACCACATAAAAATAAATAAGTGAAATAAAAGTATTGTGTTCAGCTACAACTAAAAAATAAATTAAAAAAAAATTATACAGTTTACAGAACAGCTCTCCATAGCTAATAATTTTGTGGCTGAAAACGTCAGTAGTACTAAGGTTGAGAAATCTTGATCTACACAATAATTATTAACTGCTAGAAGGATAATAATTGATAAAAAAAGTTGCTAGGAAAAATTATATTGGATAGAGGAAGCTAGTAACAACTCATCTAATAATCAAATTCACTGGTTGATCATAGGTGGGAAGCTGGTATCATGTGCCTCCCACAGTGATTTGATAGAAATCACATGAAATCTTCCTATGAAATATGTTCTCACATACAGTTTAACCTCAATGTATTAATCTTCCAAATATAACTATACAGTTTACAAAAAATATGAAAATCAAAAAGACAAGTTAAATGACCCCTTCAGGAAGCAATTGGCCCAATCCAGAATTTGGGAAGGAAATTCTGCAAGACACATGACCTGGTGTCTTCAACAACTAAATGTCTTAGAGGGGAAAAAAGGTGAGGGTATAATGGAAACTATTAAGGATTTGAGGGTCTAATAATGGAATGTTTGTAGATCCTGTGTTAAATAAATCAAAAAGAAAAAGATACTTAGGAGGGGCTGAGGTAGATCAGTGGTACTTTCCTAACATTCACCTGGCCTTGGATTTCCCCAGCACCACAAAAAAAGAGATACTTAACTGAGATAATTTGAGAAAATTGAATATTAGATGATATTAAAGAATTATTGTCATTTAATTTTAGAGTAATGATATTGTGGGGTGTTTTAAGTTTTTATCTCTTGGTGGGTTTTTTTGTTTTTGTTTTGTTTGCAATACTGGGGATCAAACTCAGTGGGCTCTACTACAAGCTACATTGCCAACCCTTTTTATATTTTATTTTGAGACATATCCAGACTGGCCTCGAACTTGTGATCCTCCTACCTCAGCCTCCTGAGTTATTGAAATTATAGGCATGCAGCCGGCAGATATTTTTTTCTTTTTTAAAACCTCTTAGGTGGAGATAAGGAATACTGGTGGTTATTGTTCATGCTGGAAGGTGAAGATATGGCGATTATTGTGTTAACATCTTATGTTCTTATGCTTTTTTTTCTATATTCTCCTTTATTTTGGTGTCTTTTGATCATGTGTGTGTGTGTAAAAGGGTATGTTTTTAGATAATATTTGTTCTGCATGGAATAACTAGTACTCTCAAGTTCTTTGGTGAAATTAGGCTTCATGAAATGACTTCTAGGATTCATTTGTAGTGCTCTAAAGACCATCTGTTTTATATTAATTTCAGTTCCTTTGTGCCATTTATTATGTTATTTTACAGGTATAGCTCAGTTGGTATAGTGCTTGCCTTGCATGTATAAGGCCCTGAGTTCAATCCCCATCACCCCCCCCAAAAAAAGAAAGAAAGAAAAGAAAAAAGTAACTAGGTGCCCTGTGAAAATTTGTTACTGTTTAATGCATTAAGTCTTATCAAAAGAAGAAATATTATTGAACGATATATATTCTGTGTTCATAATATTGATATCTTCTCTCTTATTTTTAAATTTAGTTCAATTGTTTCCACCCTGCTAGCTCTTATGGATGGTTTGGACAGCAGAGGAGAAATTGTAGTCATTGGTGCTACCAACAGACTAGATTCCATAGACCCAGCTTTACGAAGACCTGGTCGCTTTGACAGAGAATTTCTTTTTAGCCTACCTGATAAAGATGTAAGAGTTTAAGTCACTCAAATTTTGACAAAATATGTTACTTTTTAACTGTTGACAAATTCAGATACAGTAAAAATCTGAAGGTTCCTGAGTTGCATATCATGATATTATCAAATGATATTTTAAAAGAACTCAAGTGGGGATAATTTTTTTCTTTTAAGTATAACGTGGACCCTCTAAAAATCTTATGAAAGGGGGCTGGAAATGTGGCTCAGGCGGTAGTGCACTCGTCTGGCATGCATGCGGCCCGGGTTCGATCCCCAGCACCACATACCAACAAAGATGTTGTGTCCGCCGAGAACTAAGAAATAAATATTAAAAAATTTCTCTCTCTCTCTCTCTCTCCTCTCTCACTCTCTCTTTAAAAAAATAAAAATCTTATGAAAATTTTTTAAATTTAGGGCTGGGAATGTAGCTCAGTTGGTAGAGTGCTTGCTTTGCATTCACAAGGCCCTGGGTTCAGTCCTCAGCACCAATAAATAAATAAACAAACAAACAAACAAATAATTTTCAGTTTAGCATCACCTTTGGGTGTGGTTTTGTTTCATTGGCTTAATGAGCTGTTGTCTTAATTCATTAACCTTGGCTTTTTCTGGAACACTATCATATAATTGGAATCCTAGCCAGTTATTTGAAAGCCACTGAAACCTTTTAAGACCACATAAGAAAATATGGGTAGAGCTCTCAGTGCTCTCAAAGACAGTTCTTAATGTGTACTAAGGTCAACAATACTTTGGTACTTATTTAATTTCTCTCATTTACATTTGTGATGACTATAACTTGGGCACTATGTATGCCTATCTGTTTAACAAAGAAACTGATTTCTTAAACTCTTAAAAATGCATCTTTTTTCTCACTTTCACTGTTTCATATATCTGTTTATACCAAGTAGTGATTGCTTTAAAGTTTTTGATAAGTAAAAGGGGATTTAGATTGAAATTATTTTAACCTGAATAGCAATTCATTATTATATTTGTAGATAATTAAACTATTCTTATTCATAGGCTCGAAAAGAGATTCTAAAGATTCACACAAGGGATTGGAATCCCAAACCACTGGACGTATTTCTAGAAGAATTAGCAGAAAACTGTGTTGGTAAACATTGTTTTAAGCTGTTACAAGAAATGTTACATTCATTAAAAGGATGGAACAAGTTGTGGTCTTGCAAAGTTATATTTTTAAAAAACAAAGTTGTGTTTGTTCCTCATCTCGTTTGTGGCATGTTTTCATCTCTAAGGTCCTGAATAATACTTCACAAATGGACCTTGGGGAAGTTTGAGAGTGAAGTTGACAATAATAATAGCTGCCCTTTACTGACCATTTACATTTTCTATTCATCCTGTTAAGCACGCGCGCGAGCACGCTCTCTCTCTCTCTTTCTCTCTCTCTCTCTCTCTTTCATCTCCACACACATTGTATATTTTTATATATATAAAATTTTATGTAATTTCCACATTAGTCCTGTGAATAAAGAAGTATTGTCTTCATTTTACAGATGAAAAATATTTGCAGAGCATGATTTTTCAAAGATCACACAGCTAGTAAATAATAAAAGTAGAATTTGAACCTAGTCTGATTTTAAGATTCTTTAACTCTTAGCTTTACTTAGTGCATGTATATTTCACTCAGAAGTTGATTGATTTGTTGATGGTTATTACCGCCATATAAGGTCACTGCATGAATGAGCAATTTTAGTCTTATTACTCTTAAATAGTTTGCTGGTATATGCCTAGCCTGATTTTTAATTCTCTTTTAACCATGACCGTGCTAATAGAGTTTTTTGAGTTTGTTTGCTTTCTTGATTGTTTTGAATAGGATACTGTGGTGCAGATATTAAGTCCGTGTGTGCTGAAGCTGCTTTAAGTGCTCTAAGACGACGCTACCCACAGATTTATACCACTAGTGAGAAGTTGCAGTTGGATCTCTCTTCCATTAATATCTCAGCTAAGGATTTTGAGGTAGCTATGCAAAAGATGATACCAGCCTCCCAGAGAGCTGTGACATCACCTGGACAGGCACTGTCTGCCATTGTGAAACCACTCCTTCAAAGTACTGTTCAAAAGATCTTAGAAGCCCTACAGAGAGTATTTCCACATGTGGACATGAGAACAAATAAAGCATTAGATTCAGGTATAAAACTTGGTTGACCATTAAAAGTTAGTTTTCATAATCAGTAAAATTAATGTATTTTGTACATCCCATAAATGTCTCTTTGTAAGAGTCTTGAAAAAAATTTGGTCGAACTTTACCTATTTGAAGAAAATTTACTTCACAGATTAACCTATTTTAAGTTTATAGTGCATTTTTATTTACTTGAAGTTATGCTGATTTACTAACTGTAGCATTATGTAGTGAAAATTTACTAACATCCAGGTTTTTGTTTTATAGATATTTCTTGTCCTCTGCTAGAAAGTGACTTGACATACAGTGATGATGACATTCCATCAGTATATGAAAATGGACTTTCTCAAAAATCTAATAAGGCAAAAGAAAATTTTAATTTTCTACATTTGAATAGGTATATTTTCCTTTCAAGTCAATATTTTTATATGAATTCTCTAAAAATAAGTTAGATTTAGTTGACAAAAGATACTAACTATAGTCTGTTTTTTATTTAAGTTAAAATATCAGAAGTTTTTTTGTTGCTACCTCTGTCACTATATTCCTAAAAATCTATGATTTGGTTGTTATCAGAAACTGTATGAAGCATGTACTGGAGATTGGACATATTGGCAACACTTGTGAAAGTTTATAATTGGTATATTGGGGGAAATATTTAAACTTTTGTTTTTTTCTGAAACACAGCTTATTAATCATTCTTTCAGAAATGCTTGTTACCAACCTATGTCTTTTCGACCAAGAATATTGATAGTGGGAGAACCAGGATTTGGGCAGGGTTCTCACTTAGCACCAGCTGTCATCCATGCTTTGGAAAAATTTACTGTATATACATTAGACATTCCTGTTCTTTTTGGAGTCAGTGCTACATCCCCTGAAGAAACATGTGCACAGGTAATTTGTTGTTGCCCAAGCAAATAAGCTATAAAGATAAAGCAGTCTTCTAGAAACAAAATTTAGAATTACTCATTCTTTTTGCTTTGTGGGGTTTCTTTTTTCTTTTTTTTTTTTTAAAGAAAGAGAGATTTTTTAAAATATTTTTTTTAAGTCTCAGCGGACACAACCTCTTTGTTTATATGTGTTGCTGAGGATCAAACCCGGGCCTCACGCATGCCATGCGAGCATGCCACCGCTTGAGCCACATCCCCAGCCCGGGTTTCTTTTTTCTTTTTCATCTCTCTGATTTCTATCTTTATGTTTATGAAATAAAATTGTGCCTGTTGCTCAGTTATTAAAGAATATAGGTTTAAATATCAGTTTTACCATTTATTATCTTTGTGATCTTAGAAAAGTAATTAGCTCTTTTTGCCTTGTTTTCCCCATTTGGAGAATTATGAAACTTCAATTAATATTGTGAAAATAAAGTAATTACAAAATATTAAAAATAATGACTGTTTCTTAGTAAGTTCTTCTATTCTGAAGTTTTTGCTATTTTTATTTATTCATTGTTTAAATATTTTTTTAGTTGTAGATGGACATAATCTTTATCTTTATTTTTATGTGGTGCTGAGGATTGAACCCAGGGCCTCACACCTGCTAGGCAAGTGCTCTGCCACTGAGCTACAGCCTCAGCCCCTATATTTAACTTTTTAATATAAAAGTATTTTATGTTGTGGGGCACAGTGGTACTCACACTCTGAAGGCTGAGGCAGAAGGATTGCAACTTCCAGACCTGACTTGACAACTTAGGAGACCCTGTCTCAAAAACTAAAAAGGGCAAGGAAAGGAAAAGGGATGAGAGGAAGCAGGGAGAGTACTAGGTACTGAATTATAATAAATTATATTCCATGCTTTTGTAATTAAGTCAAAATTAATTCTGTTGTCATGTATACCTAAAAAGAATCAATTAAAAAAACAGATAAAATATAGAAAATATGCATGTGGATGAGAAAAAAAGGGTGGAATCTGGGGGTATACCTCAGTATATCCTGTACTCAATCCCTGTGCTGAATCCCTAATGGGGTGTGGTATTTTATATTCTTTGTTTAACCTTCATTACCGTAAGAGAAAAGACTTAAAAGATATCTTGCTGTTTTATAGTTGCTTGAAGCAATTGTTTCCAAAATATGAGACTTTTTTTGTAAAATACTTAGAAACAAGATTGTAAGATTTAGGAGATGAAGCATTTTAAAACTTTTGAGTTTTTATATGCTGATTCTGGGAAGTTTAACATTGTTTCAGGCTAATGGAGCTAGCATTGCTAATGTGCCAACTCTAATACTGAATACAATTTTTCTCCTATTAGATGATTCGTGAAGCTAAGAGAACAGCACCAAGTATAATATATGTACCACATATTCACCTGTGGTGGGAAATAGTTGGACCAACACTTAAAGCCACATTTACCACATTATTACAGAATATCCCTTCATTTGCTCCAGTTTTACTGCTTGCAACTTCTGACAAATCCCATTCTGATCTACCAGAAGAGGTAATTTGGGGAAAAGAATTATCCTTTAAAAGAGAGTTGTTTGTACCAAATAATAATTTATTGTAAAATTCCAAGTGCTATAGAAGTAAATGAAATGATAAGAAAAAATTTTCTGTTTGGCCTCTGTACTAATAGGATGGAATGGTATGTGTGTGTAATAAGGAAACATTATAAATTTGTTCTCTTACAAAAATGTTACATGATCATAATACTCTGCTTTATTCATCTATCAGTATAATTTCTATATTTAATACTTAAGCCTTTCTCTTACTGCACCCCTCACCCCATAGCAGGGATTGAACCCAGGGCCTTTTCATACTAAGCTAGACAAGTGTTCTATCACTGAGCTACACCCCCAGTCCTTTTTTATTTTTATTTACTTTTTTTTTTTTTTTTTTTTGTAGTTGTAGACAGAATGACTTTATTTTACTTGTTTTTATTTGGTGCTAAGGATTGAACCCAGTGTGTCACCCATGCTAGAGAAGTGCTCTGCCATTGAGCTACAGCCCCAGCCTCCTTTTTTTTCTTACCCTCTTTTAGGGTTTGTTTGTTTGTTTGGTGGTGATGGTAGAAATCATACCCAGAGCCTCACTCATGCCACACACTCAGCTGCTGAGCTACATGCCTAATCTTGAGTTTTATTTATTTGATACCAGTGATTGAACTCAGGGACACTCAACCACTGAGCCAAATCCCCAGCCCTGTTTTGTATTTTATTTAGAGACAGGGTCTCACTGAGTTACTTAGCACCTTTGCTATTGCTGACGCTGGCTTTGAAATCGCAATACTCCTATTTAAGACTCCCGATCCATGCATCACTGTGCCTGACAGGTTTTATTTTAAGATCAGGTCTTGCTACATCTCAGACTGGACTTGAACTTGTGATCCTGCTGCCTCAGCCTCCTTATAACTGGGATTATGGGGCTGGACACAATGAGTAACGCACATCTGTAATCATAGCTAAGGCAGGAGGATCATAAATTCAAAGCATACCTCAACAATTTAGCCAGGCCCTAAGCAACTTAGTGAGAGCCTGTCTCAAAAAAATTAAAAGGCTGGAGCTGGGGCTCAGTGATAGAGCGCTCGCCTGGCATGCATGAGGCACTGGTTTTGGTCCTTAGCATCACGTAAAAATAACAAAATAAAGGTATTTTGTTCACATAAAACTAAAATATATATGTGTATGTATACATAAAAATAAAAAGGGCTGAGATATATCTCAGTGGGTAAAAAGTATCCCTGGGTTAAATCCCTTATCCGTCTTCTACCCGCAAAAAAGCTGCATAGCTTTTTCATTTTCTTGATGTACTATGGCATATTAATCTAGATTCCTGTTGATAGGTATTTTGACTAATATCTGGAGTTTTTTAAATTTAACTTTGTGTGAATATTCTTGCATTTTAATTTGCATGAGCATTACTATGTGGAATTTTGTTTGTTTGTTTTTAGGATCAATTCCTAGAAGTGGAATAATTATGGCTAAGTGAAAGTATTTACACTTAAAATTTTTTACAGTACCAAATTATCCTCCATGTATATGCCAATTGGAACACTCACATAGTGAACAAAATACATGATTTTTCTGCCTAGAATATTCTCCTATTTGCATGATATGGTCCTTTATTTTTCTCAGGTCTCTGCTTAAATATCATCTCTGAAATTTCTGAAGTCTTCCTTGATCAGGCTTCCTCAATTATAGTAATAGTTTCTCTGCATATTATTCACTTTTCTATTTCCCTGCTTTATTTTTATCCTTATCTGCCATTAAATTTTAATCTGTATGACTATCCTACTAGACATTACAGCACATTTAGGTCAGGGACTTTTTTCTACCTGTATATCTACAGAGCATATAATATGTTATAGGTGTCTGTATTTATTTTTAAGTAATGCTAGCATTTTCCTCTTTTATGTTATTTATTTATATTTAAAAATGGAACTCATTGTGTTGCCCAGGTGAGCCCCAAACTTGGTTCAAACAATCCTCCTGTCTCAGCCTCCCAGATAGCTGGAACTATGGGCATGTGCCACCATGCCTGGCTTGTATTTTTTTTTTCTTTAATGAATTTACTAAGTATTTTTTTCCATACCTTTGACAAAATTGGTTTGCATGGTGTTTAAAACATTAGAATAATGATAAGTTCACATACTTGGTAATTTCTCATCATCTCAAGTAGAAACCATTCCTTTTAAAGTCCTCATTCCTTCCTTTCTGTACCCCTGGTAACTTGTTATACTTTCTGCCTCTACTTTTCTCATACTTTATTTATTTATTCTAGGTAGTTTATATAAGTAGAATATCAAATACAATATTTATCTGTTTCTGTCTTAATTCACTTAGTATAATGTTTTCAAGGTTTGTCTATGTTGTACCATGTGTCCAAATTATTAAGGATGAATAATTTACATTTTATATATTCTGTTATTCCATTTATCTGATGGTGGATATTTTGGGTTATCTTCACCTCTTGGTTTTACAGATGATAATGCTCTTATGATTATTGGTGTACAAATGTCTGTTGGAATATATATCTCCCTAGGGGAATTGTTGGGTCATATCATAATTCTGTTGTAAATTTATGAGAAACTATCATATTCTTCTCCATAGTGGTTATACCATTTGTATCCTTCAATACATAAGGTTTTTAGTTTCCATGTCCTCACCAACACTTGTTATTTTTTAGCCTTTATTCTTAGTAAACAACCACTCAATTCTTAGTTCTCACTTTGAGTTGTGAAAGTAAATTAATTGATTTCACTAGAACTTTTAAAATATTATCATGGAGGTACTATATAAATTGTAGTTTGGATTCTTGAATTTTAAAGAAGATCCTGTGTTTCTGTGTTCCTAATCTGTTGCAAACACGATTTATACATAAATTCAGTATAATTGGAATGACTTGTTTTAAAAAATCATTTTTATATTTAAGTTTTAACTAAAATGGGTGTTAAACAATCATTACGTGCATTGTATATGGTGCATATATGTATATTTTGTATATATTGCTTTTATTTTCTTTTTAAGGTGCAAGAATTATTTATCCATGATTATGGAGAGATTTTTAATGTCCAGTTACCAGGTAAAGAAGAACGGACAGCATTTTTTGAAGATTTAATCTTAAAACAAGCTGCTAAGCCTCCTATATCAAAAAAGAAAGCAGGTTAGAGTTAATTTATAATTTTGAGAAAGTGGGAATAAAATATCAATTAATGGTCATTGATGTATATCTAATAGCTCCAGCTCAAAATCTCAGTCATGAAATTGATGGATCCACTGCTTAAAAACCTATTTTTAGCCAGGTGAGGTGGCACACACCTGTAATCCCAGCCACTTGAGAGGCTGAGGCAGGAGGATCTCAAATTCAAAGCCAGCCTCAGCAGAAATGAGGTTCTAAGCAACTCAGACCCTGTCTCTAAATAAAATACAAAATAGGGCTGGGGATGTGGCTCTGTGGTCAAGTGCCCCTGAGTTCAATTCCTGGTACAAAAAAAAAAAAATCTACCTGCTAAAATGAACTAAAGTTCTTAAGCCTCCAGGGTGTTCCATAGTATATACACCCCAGTCTGCTTCAAAGTTCATTTCTGGTACTAATGTTCCTCCCCACATATACCACTCCCTCTTCTTGTTATAAAACATCTTGTCTTGAAACTGTACACAAAATATATTCCTGCCTATTCAATATTTCACTCATGCTTAATGTTAGTAATGCTTCTGTCTCATTTCAGTCTAAAGAGCTACATGTTGTTGTTATTAGACCTTCCCTAATTTATCTAGGCAAAATTAATTGTTCTTTTTTATACCACTAATACAACATTACAATAATGTAATTATGTCTCTTACTTCTTTAATAAATTGCCAGCTTATTGGGGGCAAACCTTTTTTTTTTTTAAATCCCAAGTATTCATTGTTTACCTGTTTAAACTTTTGTTATATATGAAATATTTCATAAGTTCAAAATTTAACTTATTAATATTAGAAGCTAATCAGATTTTCTTACAGTTAGAATATTATTCTTGGGAAATAATGCATTTTCAAAGTTCATTTAACAGCCTCTTAAATGATCTTCAAATGGAACAGAGATAATGACTTTTACAAATTAGCATTGCAAATTATCAGTTATTCTAAAGAATATATAGTAGAGATTATGGCATACTTTTGTATTCCAAATTCCCAGATTCCTGACAGATGTAAGAAAGATAACTCCCCAAAGCCTGGCACCACTTGCACTGAATCATTTGTCACCATCAATATTATAAAGGAGTAGTAACTAAAATCTTCCATTCCTGTGAAGTTTTGCAGGCCTTGGAGGTACTCCCAGTAGCACCACCACCTGAGCCAAGACCATTGACAGCAGATGAAGTGAAACGACTTGAAGAACAAGAAGAAGATACATTTAGAGAACTGAGAATTTTCTTAAGAAACGTTACACATAGGCTTGCTATTGATAAACGATTCCGAGTATTTACTAAGCCTGTTGACCCTGATGAGGTATTAGTTGGATCTTTGGACCAAATGTTTTCTACTCTATAATGCTTCATTGTGTGGCATTCATTTAGTCTCCTGCTACACCCTGTACTTGTCATCTCTATTTGGAAACATGTACTAAGTATTATAAGCACAGAGACTTTAAAGGCCTGTTATACATTTTTCTGCAGAAAACAGGCAGTTAACTTTTTTCATCCAACCCAAATGTTCTGAAAACAATTTGAAAAATGTCTTAATGCCAACTATTGCTGTGACCTACAAGGGTGAAAGTGAACTGAAGAGTAAGATCTTAAGTTGTCATTGAAGTATGAATGATGGTTGGATGAATAAAGAGGTATAGGGTGTTACTGGGGAATATCATTGCCTGAGAATAGGAGTAAGTACAAACACAAACAGCCTTAGAGTCAAAGGTTTCATCACATTACTGTATTATTCTTATGTCTTATTTTCTGTCCCCTGTATCACCTTGCTGAGAAAAAACTATGTTTAGAGTTAATTTAGTGATTTCTTCATTTGCTTGAATTTTAGGTTCCTGATTATATCACAGTAATTAAGCAACCAATGGACCTTTCATCTGTAATCAGTAAAATCGATCTACACAAGTATCTGACCGTGAAGGACTATTTGAGAGATATTGATTTAATCTGTAGTAATGCTTTAGAATATAATCCAGATAGAGATCCTGGAGGTGAGCATTAGTGAATTCTTTTTAAGAGGGTGGTATGGGGGCTACTAACAGTTACCAAGAGTTGTCAGGTGCTATTTATATTTATTTACTTATTTGGTTTTTGGTACTGGGAATTGAACCCAGGTGTGTTAAATTGCTGAGGCTGGCTTTGAACTTGGGATCCTCCTTCCTTTGCCTCCTGAGCTGCCACCATATTATAAATTTTTTACATTCACAATGCCATTTAATCCTCACCATAAATTTATACCATTCTATAATTGAAGAAGGTGAGGTTTAGAAAAGTTAAAAACATTGCTCAAGGTCACAACTGCCAGAAAGAGCAGAGATAGATTGAGGGAGTTTCTTTGCTGTGCTGGGATTGACTGGGGCTTTGTGCCTGCTAGGCAAACATTTTACCACTGAACTATATCCCCAGCCCCCCACACAGAATTTGAATGCACTTAATAATTACCTGCTATATATCCTCTAATGAGACAACAAAATTGCCTTTTTATTTTTTGCATCAGTTTTCTTTCTCAAAGTAGAAAAATACTTTAGAATAAAATAGATTTCAAAATATCTTTTTAAAGCTCTTTTAATTTTTATTTGAAAAGTAGCATGGTATAATACTTATTGACAGTAATATTTTTAAAAACCTAAGCCCCATGTTTTCTTTATCCAAATGTGTCAATACTGTAGATGTCTGTCAGAATTCTAATTGGTGCTCATAATAAATTCTTTGGTATAGGAAACTACTAATAATTCCCTATACAATTGGAAAGCTCACTCTTCTTCCTCTTCCAATCATCTACCCTGCCATCCTTAGGCTTTTCCTTGTAGTTCAGATCTTGGAGGTAAGTAGTGAGGACCAAGCTAGCAAGCTGGGAAACCCCCAATTGTAGGAAGAAGTTACGCTGGAGGTGGGGGGGCTTTTCTTTCACTGCAGTCATATTGCTGCTGCTTTTGCCTCTCTTGTAGCAATCTAAAAATTATTTTAGACCAGTATTGTTCAAACTTTAGTGGACATCACAGTCTGCTAAACGACTTCTTAACATACAGATTGATGGGTACCTTCACCTGAGTGGTTTTTGATTATTTAAGTATATATAGGATATGGGCCTAAGTGTTTGCATTTCTAACAAGTTACAGTGTGATGATGATGATGGGTACAGAAACCATAATTTGGGAAGCACTGCACAGACTGCCCTTTTTTCAGGCCCAAAAGCCACATTAGAAGGCTGAGACAATATTCTTTATAATGTTATTCCTATCATTCATAAAGGGAATAGTGTAGCCTATTGCCCTGGGAGAAATTTTGATCTTGGCAGTTCAAGTCAAGTACCTTGTATTCTGCTTTCTGCCTTCTGCCTCAAAGCTTTATCAAGTTTATGGTGTTTATACTCTGAGCTTAGAATGTTTCAGTGTTTCCCGAGTTAGAGTTGCTATTTCATTGTTTATTTAGTTTCTCTGTCCTGTAGTAACATCCTCTGTATCTCTGCCAAATTTCTTTCACATTCCTGGTTCACAAATGATACTGACAGTCTTCCTTCTGGTTTTGTCATCATTGTTTAGTGTTGTTATTGACTTATTTTTCTGATATTTCAGAGAGAACTGAATAAGGCAGAACAATAAAGTTTTTTTAGGTTTAGTCTGCTGTATTAAATTAGATGTCAGACCAGGAGCCATGGTGTATACCCCTCCCAAAGCTGAGGTGGGTAGCCTCAGCAACTTAGTGAGAACTTATCTCAAAGTAAAAAGAACTAGGGATGTAACTCAATGGTAATGTGTCCCTAGATTTAATCACCAGTACAAAAAAAATTTTTTTAAACCTACAAAAACAACAGTACCAGAAACAAACTAACTCAATTCTAATAACTTGTATTATTTGTGGTAAAAAATAAAAAGGAATTATAATGGGTCCTAAGCCAAAAATGTTGAGATTTTTGTTTTGCTTTTTTTTTTTTAATTGGAAAATTTAAGAATTTGTTATTCAATTCTCAGATCGTCTTATTAGGCATAGAGCCTGTGCTTTAAGAGATACTGCCTATGCAATCATTAAAGAAGAACTTGATGAAGACTTTGAGCAGCTTTGTGAAGAAATTCAAGAATCTAGAAAGAAAAGAGGTAGGAAAATGATTTGGCACCAGAAAAAGACGTTTAATTAATCCTTCATGTAATTTCGAAATCTGGAAATCTTTTGAAATTTCATTTGTTTATAAGGTTGTAGCTCCTCCAAATATGCTCCATCTTACTACCACGTGATGCCAAAGCAAAATTCCACTCTTGCTGGTGATAAAAGATCTGATCTAGAGCAAAATGAAAAGCTAAAGGCATCCAGTATTCCTGTGGCTTGCAGCACACCTGGTAAGTACTCTCAGGTAATTTTCATTTATGCAATTGAAACCTTTATAAGCTTCTAAAGCTGTTTACTTTCTCCTTGGTTTTATTTATTAATACAGGAAATTATATTGGTTTTACTAATATTAAGGCAACTTCACATTCTTGTTTTAAATCCAGTTTTACAATATACTACTTAAAATCCCATTTCACCATCTCCTTGTGAATTAACTTGATTTGCAACTGATTTACTATTAATCTGGTCTGTTTTCTGTTTTTGTTCCCTCTTATTCTTGGACTGTAACTCCATAGGACACCAACCAGAAGCCTGTGAGGTTTTTTTGAGGCTCACCTCTTTGACTGGCTTTTAACTCCACTTTTTGTTCATTAAGCCCTATGAATGTCAGGCCCTGCTTAGTTTTTTAGCCTCTCTCTATATCATTTGCTTTCCCAGAGTTCGACCTCATAATTTCTTGTTAGATCTCACGTGTGCACACCTGTGTTTTACTGGAGTTAGGACCTTCTCTTATTGTGTTGAGGGTTTGTCCACCAGAGGGAAATTGATTTGAAATACAGAGTAAGCTCTTCTTTGTTAAATGGTTGGCAATGGGAAAGAGAATAAAAATGGAGTATCAGCAAGATTCTTCCACTATCAGAAGGCTCTCAGTCATCTCTACTTTAAGCAAGTCATTTTATAGAAATTGAAGGCATGGAAATTGGCTCCCTTCCCTTAAAGTGGTCAATCCCTAGTGTGTATCCCATAGGATTATGTATGTTACTTCTACCAAAGATACAGGAATGTTCAAAGAAGCAATCCTAGAAATAACTCAAATGCCTATCTACAGGATAATGAAAATATATGGATTATTATGTAACAAAATGATTAAACCTCAACTGTTTCAACAGTACAGATGACTCTCCTAAACTTTTAGATACAGATTTTAAGAAACATATATATTCATATTCAGAAATGGACAAAATTAGCTCATTGTGTTAGGACTCAAGATACTATTTACCCTAGGGTGCTTTAACTAAAATAGTATAACTGGAATGGTGACACATATTCTGTTAATTGATCCGAGTGCTAGTTACGTGGATATGTTTCTTCTTTTTTGGTTCCAGGAATTGAACCCAAGGGCAGTTAACCACTAAAGCACATCCCCAGACCCCTCACACACACCCTTTTTAAATTTATTTTTTAGTTTTAGGTAGACACAATATCTTTTATTTATATTTATGTGGTGTTGAGGATCGAATCCAGTGCCTCATGCATGCTAGGCAAGCACTCCACCACTGAGCCACAACCCCAGCCCCCAGCCCCCTAGCCTTTTTATTTTATATTTTGAGACAGGGTCTCACTAAATAAGTCTTGCTAAATTGCTAAGATTGGGTTCAGACCTGTGATCCTTCTGCCTTGAGCCACTGGGATTGCAGGCACCAGTCACATGGGTTTCTTCTGTTTGTGGATATTTGAGTACTTTATGTATGCATGTTATATGTTAGAAGCTCAATCTAAACAAACCTGTGTAGCCCTTATAAATTTGCTTTTCTAAACTTGATGTGGTATACATGTATCCAATTCTGGACTCCTTATCACCTACTTCCATCTAAAATGTAAATAATCCTATCTTCTTTTCCATATAAATTTTGGTGAATATGTTATCACTGGACAACATTTACCCTTGGGGTTGTTTTTTTTTTTGTTTTGTTTTGTTTGGATTTTCTTTTCTCTTTTTTTTAAAGAGATTTATTAAACTAATTTTTTTAAATACTTTTTTTTTTTTTTTTTTTTAAGGTTTAGATGAGCACAACACAATGCCTTTATTTTTATGTTGTGCTGAGAATCGAACCCGGGTCCCACCCATGTTAGGCGAGTGCTCTACCGCTGAGCCACAATCCCAGCCCTTGTTTGGATTTTCTTTTTTATTGTTGTTGTTTTTTGTTTTTGTTTTTGGCTATTGGGATTTAACCCAGTTTTGCTTAACCACTGTGCACGTCCTGAGCCCTTTTTATTTTTTAATAAGAGACAAGATCTTACCAAGTTGCTTAGAGTCTTGCTAAGTTGCTGAAACTGGTCTTGAACTTGGATCCTCCTGTCTCATCCCACCCTCACCCCACCCCTGTCACTGGGCATGTGCTACTATACCCAGTTCTGTGGGTCACTTAATTCCTGCATCTTTATTGCCTCCCAACATTTGATAACGTTTAAGTCCTAGGAAATCTACTTCCCTAATACCTTTCAAATTTATTCTCCATTTTTCCTTTATCATTTCTACTACCTAATTTTTATCTCTTCTCCCCTGGACAATTACAGTGTGATTATACTGCGTCTAGTCTAGAAAAATACTTAACCTTTCTGTACTTCAGCTTCTTCATCTGTAAATTTGTAGCAAACTTCATTGAGTTAAAGTGAAATTTCAATGAATTTATATATATATAAAAAATATCAGAGAGTCATGTCATTGCCCTCCTTAAAGTTATTCAAGATTCTTAATAGATACAGGATAAAATCTAAACTTCTTAGACTTTCTGACAGGTCACTTTATGATTAGGTCTTGTACACTTCTCCACCTTATCACGGTACTCCACTTTTTATAGACCATACAACATCTCAGTGGGTTTGTTGTTGTTGTTGTTTTCTCTTCATTTCTTAAAATTAGGAAATTTTTTAAATGCTCTTTTATCTTTTTTTATTATTATTATTCTTTGAAGCTCAATTAAAGAGAAAAATTCGCAAAAAGTCAAAGTGGTACCTAGGCACTATAACAAAGAGAAGGAAGATTTCTCAGGCAAAGGATGATAGCCACAATGCTATAGATGACAAAATTGAGAGTGATATAGAGGAAACTCAAGATACAAGTGTAGATCATAACGAGACTGGAAACACAGGAGAGTCTTCTATAGAAGAAAATGAGAAACAACAAAGTGCCTCTGAAAGCAAAAGAGAATTGGGAAATAATTCAAGTACTTACAATATTGAGAAAGAACTTGAAGAATCTAAGAATGCTACACCATCTACAGAATTGAGAAAAGATAAGGTTGTTTGCAATGGAGATCCTTCTAACTCTCAGATAATAGGCATTTCTGATGAAAATGAGGGAAAAGGTAAGTCTCAATTAATAGATGTTTCACCCAAAGTTCCTACTCAGACGGTTACATATCAATTGCTTTTTTTGTTTGTCTTTCATAGTACAGGTATTAAGCTAGTTAGAAAAATGCTGTCTTTACTTGCCTTTGAGCTGCTAAATCACTGTTATCATAACTGCACTTTGACAGCAAACAGATATGGATTTGAGCCTCCAGTTTATTACCTATAGGGTAGCTTTGACATGGAACAGCATACTTTTTTGTTTATCTTATTGCTTATCTGCAAAATTGGGGTAGATAATTGCTAGGTAGCAAGATATTTTGAGGATCAAAAAAATTCAGGGGCTGGGGTTGTAGCTCAGCCATAGAACACTTGCATAGCACCTGTGAGGCCTTGGGTTCGATCCTCAGCATCACATAAAAATAAGTAAATAAAATAAAGGCATTGTGTGGGGGCTGGGGTTGTGGCTTAGTGGTAGAACGCTCGCCTAGCATGCACAAGGCACTGGGTTCGAACTTCAGCACCACATAAATGTAAAAATAAAGATATTGTATCCACCTAAAACTAAAAAATAAATATTTTTTAAAAAATAAAGGCATTGTGCCCAACTATACCTTAAAAATAAGATTCTTGGGCTGGGGATGTGGCTCAAGCGTAGTGCGCTCGCCTGGCATGCGTGCGGCCCGGGTTCGATCCTCAGCACCACATACAAACAAAGATGTTGTCCACAGAAAATTTTAAAAATAAATATTTTTTAAAAATAATTTTAAAAAAAGATTCTTTCAGAGTGTTATAAAATAACTCTTACCCACACTCATCATTTTCTATCTTATTGTAAAGACCAAGATTATTTATATTCTGATGGTTCTTCCCAAATTTTCCATTTAGAATTATCTTCACTTGAATCTTCTTGAGCTTTTGGTAGTAGATTTGTTTGATTTTTTTTGGAAACCTAAATATTTAGTGATACAAAACCAAAATTTGTTAAGGGTCAAAATTTATTTTGGTCAAAAACAAGAATTGACTAAGGTAATAGGATTAGGGTTTTTATTAGTGACTTATACACAGAAGGTTATTACTTTTGAAGAGCTTCCTCAGTATGAGTTCTAATATGAGTAATCATAGAAACAGTGGACAAGGATATTTTTTTGTATGTGGTGCTGGGATCAAACCCAGGGCTTTTTATGTGCTAGCCAACTCCTCTACCCTGAGCTACATCCCCCATCCCTAATATGAGTACTTTAAATGTTAAATCTTTGGGTTATATAATTTAATATTTTGCTTTGGGTCAAAGTTGTTTTCTTTTTCTAACATCTTTTTTTAAAAGGCCACTATTCATAGGAAAAGGTACTTGCTTATATATCAGGACATCTAGGTCTTGTGCTAACTTTTAAAATAATTAGGTATATGGCCTAAAAAAAAAAAAAAAAAGTCTTTTCATGAAACTCTCTTGATCTCATTTTTCTTATCTATCAATGAGTATGTTTTTCTGGATCAAGGATCAGCAAACTTTTAAAGAGCCAGATACCAGTTAATAAATACTTTATAGGCTATGTAGAGATCTCTTGATCTCTGGGTCACAACTGTTCAACTCTTCTGGGAAAATGACATTGATAGTAGGAAAAAATGGGCATGGCTTTGGCTTAATATACTTTTATTTACAGTGGCAGGCTAAATTTGACCCACGAGTAGTAGTTTAAAATCCCTGTTTTAGATTATTGAGGTCCCTCCCAGTTCTTAAATATCTGTGCCCAAGCAGAAGATAGTGTATTTACTCTATCCAGTATTTATCTAAGGCATTATTATGTCTGTGGATCAAATAATAGTTGTTTACTTTTTCATTCTAGAAATGTGTGTTCTGCGAATGACTCGAGCTAGACGTTCCCAAGTAGAGCAACAGCAGCTCATCAGTGTTGAAAAGGCTTTGGCAATTCTCTCTCAGCCTACACCCACTCTTGTTGTGGACCATGATCGATTAAAAGTATGTAATCCTTTCATTGTGCATAATAATCCCCAAATGCTAAATTGTAGACTAGTATCTGGCTAATAGGAATTGCATGGGAAACTAAAACCTTTTCTTTTTTGGATACAGGGGATTGAAATCAGGAACACTCGGCCACTGGGCCATATCCTCAGCCCTATTTTGTATTTTATTTAGAAACAGGCGTGCAGCACAGCCCCAGCCACTAAAACCTTTTCTTTGATTTAGCTACAGCTCTTTTCCTTCCCAACCACCAAATTCTGATATAATTTCAGGTTATTCATTGCTGTTTCTTTTGCCCTATCTATTCCCCTCAATTGGATTTTCATCTTCACTGCCCTAATAAAATCACATCCTCATGGTGAATAATATTTGTTATTGTTAAATTGAATTCTTCCTACCCATCTGTAACATTTGATGCCATTGATAACCCTCTTTCCTTTACTGTGTGTCCTTAAACTACCCTTACCTTCAGCTTCTTTATGAGTTTTTCAGAGTTTACCTTTACTGTTGTCCCTACCTTTATGTACTCTTGGATAGCCATCACTTTTTTCTATATCTTTATTTTTATTTATTTTTATGTGGTGCTGAGGATCAAACCCAGTAACCCAGTACCTCACATGTGCTAGGCAAGCACTCCACCACTGAGCTACAACCTCAGCCCCTAACCATCACTTTTGTAAGAGTGATCATCTCTCTCAAATGCTTTATCTTGACATTCCAAAACAGCAGTCCTACCTCCCCAACTAACAACTGGGTGGGTTGCAGTTGCCTTAACATCTGAAATAAGGCTAGTTTATTGCTCTTTCCCTTCAAAAGACAAAAAAAAAAAAAAAAAAGCATTCCAGTTTCATCTTAATGTATTATTTTGGCCACATTTCAAGTCTGAGGACATTGAGATTTTATATTGTATTAAACTATATGCATGTATCATAGATGCTGTAAGTACAAGGTGAATCTGCGGGTAATAATTAGCTCAGGAAAGCCCTTTTGAGTATAGCAAACCTTCTAAGAACTTGATTTCTCTACTTATTAGAGAAGGAAGCAGTGATACATTCCTGGAGCCCTTTCTCCAAGGAAAATCTTGTCTGTATTAAAAATATCTTTAAAAATATGTGAAATTAAAGCATTTCTAAATCTCATGTACATGAAAATAGGAATTTTGTATAGTTCACCATGTTGTTTGGGGTTATGGGTAGCAATTATTGTTCTAGTTAATTTTTATAAATTTTATAAAAACTGTTCTATTCAGCATATAGGTATATCATTTAGACTCAATTGCAGACAACCATTTATTGGGATTACTTCAATTCATACTTTTTTTGGTAACATAACTCCACCAAAAGGATTGTTTGATAATGCAGTGTATCTATTAGACATGCCATAAATGATGACCTTTTATGAGAAATAAATTTACTATAGAATATTTTGCATGAAAACATTGGTTGAAGATGACTAATGTGTTGATTTATAGTTTTGTGGGGGTTTTTTTATATATACTTATCTACATCATTGTTCCCGTGCCTTGTTGTTATGACCATTACTTAAGACCTTTTCAGTTAGTTTTTATTTACTTAATTATAACGGCATAGCCTGGTAGGACCACACTTGAAGAATTAAAGAAATCCAGTGAGTCTACCATTTCAGTCCCCCAAAGTGTTCAGACAATCACCATTTATATAGGTTGTTTGTTTAGGTTCTCTCAATGGAATTAATTATGATATACTGCCATAAAATACGCTGCAAAAATGTTACCTTTTTCCCTATTATTAATTTGAGGTAATTTTAAAATTTGTCTGTAGAGGTTTATGACTAGAATTGAAATTGGTAGCCTTAGCTATAATTTTTAGAATAAGAGTTGTCCAGGGTAAAGGTCAGAACCACAAATTGTGATAGTTATACAGCCAAATTTCAGTGCCAGAGGCTGCCTTCTCTCAAAAGCCTTGATCTGCCTTCTCTGTGTTGTATGATAACAATTCCCAAAATCTTCAGAATTAAGTATCTCATCTCAGAATTTGTCTTCTATATGTAAACACTTATATTTTTATTTAGAATCTTTTGAAGACTGTCGTTAAAAAAAGTAAAGAATACAATATATTGCAACTGGAAAATTTGTATGCAGTAATCAGCCAGTGTATTTATCAGCATCGCAGAGACTATGATAAAACAACACTTATCCAGGTAAACTATTGAGTCAAAGTTCTTTTTGATGCCCTTTTGTTATATAATCCATATATAAGATGGCTAAAGATTTGAGGCTGGGGATGTGGCTCAAGCCGTAGCGCACTCGCCTGGCATGCGTGCGGCCCAGGTTCGATCCTCAGCACCACATACAAACAAAGATGTTGTGTCCACCGAAAACTAAAAAATAAATATTAAAATTCTCTCTTAAGTAAAATCTTTAGCCATCTTTTTTTTTTAACAGTTGTAAGAATTTAACTATTTTTAATATGTGGATAATGAATTTTTTATCTGTAACTTCTTTAATAAACAATAAATAATAAACAATGAATTTAGTATCAGTAAAACTGAAAATTCCATTTTGTTGTATTTTAATGAAGTTATGTGGCTCCTTTTAAGATATTTAAAGATAGACTTACTTGTCTCAATCTTATAGTACTTACATGTAAGTTTTTGAATATAATGTCAAATGAACTTGTCTTAGACTCATTTCAAAGGCATTTATTTAAATAATGAAGTCCAATCCATGAAAATAGTTTGTGACAGTTTTATATACTAAATTAAGTTTTTATTAACACTATCAGATATTACATGGTTATTAATATCTCAAGAGTTTGAAAATAATAACAATGAAATTGTTTTAGCTTTTTTCATATTGAAACTTACTGTTTTTCCTTCCTACCCTTTATATAGAAAATGGAGCAAGAGGTAGAAAACTTCAGTTGTTCCAGATCATGATGTCATCATATCAAGTATTTTTTTATATTCAGTTCTTATTTAATAGACTTTTGACATATCTGCATGTCCAGATGCAAGATTTCATTTTGCATCTTTAAGAAAAAGATTAAAATAGTTAAATATTTAATTTTCCTATTTATGTACATGTGTAAGATAACCAATGAATATTGGAAGTTTGTTTGAACAAAGCACTGTAATAATAGTAATAGTTGAAGTTTGGCCAACTCTTAATAAAGTTATTTTGATACATTTTATGGCACTTAAAATAGTGACATGGAATTTTTTTGTTAAGCACTTTTACCTTTCCTAAAAAATAGTTTATTGTAGCAGACTAGAAAAGTATCCATTGTTTCTTTGCTTCTTGTTATATTTGTTTTTATGTTTTCCCTTCTCTACCTTTAGCTTCCTTTTGCCCAATTGTTCATTTAGCTCAAGTCATTGTTTGCAAGGAGGCTGCTCCACAATTCTGTACTTGACTATCAAAATTATTGTTTTTTAGATAAGCATTTTGATAATTCTAATTTGGGTTAATAAAGATTTTAAATATTTTTGTTTAGTTTTATGATTATATACACAACAAATGTATTAATAACTACCTGATGAACATTTTTTTTGATAGCATAAAGTTTTTATATTTGAAATCTTTATATATTTCTACAATTGCATTTAGGTTATATTCTATAGATACCTTTTATGTACAAATATATGAATATAAATATAAATTTTATATTTCTGATACCAAAAAATACATTTCTTTCTTAAAGCTAAAACTATTTACCTCCATACATATTCTTTTTTTGGAAGATGAGTTTTCTAGTATTAGTTTATAAAATAGTTTCTGTTAAACCCTGTTCAATGGGAGAAAAGAAGAGTAATCTTCCAATTAGAGATGTTAGATTTTTGGTGGTGGTGGTGGGTGGTACTGGATGAATCCAGGCCGTTGTGCATTTCTGGCATAAGTTCTACCACTGAGCTATGTTCCCAGCCCAAGATTCTGAATTTTAGTACAGTTCAAAATTGAGCTGCCTCTTGTTAACTGTTTTCTAGATATTTAAAGTACTCTAAAGTAAGTTAGCCAGGCATGGTGGCACACAACTGTAATCCCATCTATTTGGGAGGCCAAGACAGGAGGATTGAAATTGGGGGCCAACCTGGGCAACCTGATGAGAACCTAAGTCAAATAAAAGTTTTAAAGAAGGGTTGGAGATATAGTTCAGTCGTAGATGGCCCCTGAGTTCAACCCCAGAGCGTAGGGCAGAAAAGCTTTTGTTAGATTCTTTAATTAGTAGATAAAGAAATGCTAATCACTGAGAATAAATGTGTGTGTGTTGCTGGAGATACACATATACTCATTTTTATTGAAGTTTATTGTAACTTTTCCAGGTTCATCTTTTAGTTCTAGGATTTCATTTTGTGTGTATAGTTTGTGCAATAAATTAAAAAGTGAAAAGTCCTTGCCAAATCTGTCTGTTTCTTCAGTATTTTAAAATATTAAAGATAATTCAGTACTAAACACAAAGAAAGCTATTCTTTCATATATTACTGTGCATAATTTAAAATACTGTTGATCTGTCCAAAATGGTGGCACCTGCCTGTAGCACCAGCTACTCAGGAAGCTGAGGTAAGAGGATCACGTAAGCCTGTGAGTTGGAGAGAAACCTGGGCAACACAGTGAGATCCTGTGACAATCAATCAATAAAATGCTGTTGAATCTGGAATGTTAATATGTTGTGTGTTCTTTAGAAAAACTAATGCTTATTGTTCTTGTTTTTTTCATGACATACTGTTTGCAGATTCTGAAAGTGATAGTTCTACATGCCTATGTAGAGTTTGAAAACCCTGATGAAATTGCAAGGTTAGGTATATTTTTTAATATATGTGTGTGTGTATATATATTAGTTGTAGTTGGACACAATACCTTTATTTTTATGTGGTGGTGAGGATGGAACCCAGGGTCTCGCATATGTTAGGTGAGTACCCTACCGCTGAGTCACATCCCCAGCCCCGGATTTTTTCTTTTTTTTTAAATAATTACTTTTTAGTTGTAGTAGGACACAATACCTTTGTTTGATCTATTTTCTATGTGGTGCTAAGGATTGAACCCAGGGCCTCGAACGAGCTAGGCGAGTACTCTACTGCTGAGCCACAACCCCAGCCAGCCCTACAAGGTTAGAGTTTTGGTTTTGGTTTTACTTAAAAGTACTGTCCATCTGCAGCATTTAAATTTAAAGGAGGGAGGAGGACAGTCATCCAAATTGGAAAGGAAAAAGTGGAAATATCTATAGTCAAAAATTACATCTTATGTATAGAAAATTCTAAAGAATCCCCAAAAAAGCTGTTAGGCTGTGGAGCCTATAAGTAAATTCAACAAAATATTTTTAGGATTAAAAAAATCGGTTATATTTGTATATATCAACAATAACAAAAGTCCAAAAAGGAAATTAAGCAATTTCGTTTGTATTAACACCTACAAATAAATTAAGCCCAGGAGGTCCCAGCCTGTGTACATTGATAACTACAAAATTGCTGAAAGAACGAAGACCTACATAAACAAAGACACCCTGTATTCATGGAGCAGAAGATATGCTGTTTGTAGCTATCAGTAATCCAAAGCAATCAACATATTCAGTGTGATCTTTATCAAAATCCTAGTTGCCTTATTTGAAAAATAGATATCTGAGTCACTCCTAGAATTCATATGAAATTTCAAGGTACTCCACATGAGGTGAACTTTATTTAAAAAACAACAACAACAACAACAAAAACTCTTGCTGCTTTTGAAACAACACAAAACTACACTCTAAAGCAGTGTGGTACATGCATAATGACAGCTCCCTCCAGTAGAACTGAAAGTCCAGAAATAAGCCTATATATCAAAAGAATGAAGCTGGATCCTCTCATTTTATACTATATTATAAAAATTAACAAAATGAGTCAAAGAAACTTATCCATTAGAATTTTTAAAAAAGATTTGACTTGGTCAAAATTTTAAAATCTTGGAGCTGGGGATATGGCTCAAGTAGTAGCGTGATCGCTTGGCATGTGTGAGGCACTGGGTTCGAGCCTCAGCACCACATAAAAATAAAGTAAGGATATTATGTCCACCTGAAGTTAAAAATAAATATTAAAAAAATTTAAATCTTGTGCTTCAAAGTTTAAAAACTGCTGTACCATATAGGATTCTTAAAAAGAACTCAATGGATATGGATATTTTTGCTCATCATTAATAGTTTTTAGGAATACTGGTCAAGTAGTTTGAAAGATGCCCCTCTTTAAATCATTATTATTATATATTTCTTGTAAATAGACCAGAATTATAGGATTTGTAGAGGAAGATTGCAGGTAAAATGTTCATGTGATGGTTGCATACTATCAAATTTGATTTGGGGTTGTTGATTAACCTTAATTACTGGCTGATGTGTTTCCCAGGATTTTTCCACTGAAAAATCCCAATTTTTGAGCAACAGAATACTCTGCGTATTGTGTGTGTGATGGAGCAAAGACAGAAGCTTGGAATAAGCCTAATCCCACAGTGCATGCTTATAGATAGCCCTGATGGAATTAAAGCAAAAGGCAAAGCTAGTGCACATTCCCCACTCGTTAAAAGTGGGTTATGAGGCCTGGGGATACAGCTCAGTTGTTAGAGTGCTTGCCTTGCATGCACAAAGCCCTGGGTTCAATACTCAGCACCAGAAACAAAACAAACAAAATTAGGTTATGCCTTGACTTCTAGAGAAGAGCATGGGGAAAGGGAGTAATTTCTGCTTCCTGCTGGATATTGTGGACATAAAAATTCATTAGGTCTGCTGTCATGTATAACTAATTAGAACAAATTTTTAAAAAACTCATGAGAAATATTGTCAATATTGTGTTCAGTTACAACTAAAAATAAATATTTTTTAAAAAAGAAATATTGCCAGTTGGCCTCCTGAAATACCCATTTTTTTTCCTCCATTGTTCCCTGTAACAATGCTGAGTAATGTTTTCGCCTGGAAATTTGAAATATTTCTTCCATTGCAAAAAATGTGGCCTCATGACAGGGCTGGCCAATGAAGTACAAAAGGAAGTGTGCTCAGTTTCTAGGAAAGCTCTTTGGATGGTAAAGGGTGAGTGCATCTCTGCCTTCTGTGTTTCCTTTTCCTGCTATCTGGAGGACAGATAGCATGTGTGATATCTACATCACACATACACACATACATAATGGCTTGTACTCCTGAAACTGTCTTGGACTATGGGGTATCCTGATCTACTTCATGAAATCAGAAAGAGGACCCGTGCTTATGATAATTTCAGGGGATTGCTGTTCAAACCCTTAACTGCATCTGGACCTCTTGAAAGGAGTAACTTGGGTGGGTCTCTGTTATTGATAGTGGAATGCAATTCTTAACCAGTAAAGGCATAAAGAGAAGAGATAACAAGCCCCAAGTTACAAGCTGTCACTCTCCTATACCCATAATCTTCCCTTGAATTATCCTATTGTAAGTGCTTTTCCCTAATTCCCAAGTAGAACTGTGTAACATATGACAGACACAAGAATATTTTAAGTGGCAGTGTTTACAATCATCAAAACCTGGAACAGTTTACTTGCCCATTAACAGTAAGATGCTCAACTAGAAATAAAGTGAAGATATTTCTAGTTTTTAAAATTAAATTCATGCTTTAATGACTCATTTGCCACAGAATCAATTGTTTATTCTTAGTAGTAACATACAATTAAATATTTGCATAAAAATGTCATATTTTCCAATGTTGATACGGTTTCCTCTAAAATTATTAGTTTTATAGATTTTTATGGCAACACTATTTTATTGTCATGAAATATACAAGTGTTTGGCTTTTCTCTTGCTATATGTTAAATATGCTTTTATTTTTAAATCATCAATTGAACCCAGTACTAGGCAAGCACTGTACCACTGAGCCACAACCCCAGGGCTCCCTGGCCCTATTTTTAATTTGATTATGGCGCTCTCATATACCTTTAGCCTTCATGTGGTCTGGAGCTTAGCCTAGGTTCTCTTCTGTTCTCTTTACATTTATTGTTCCTTATTTGCAAGACTTTAAATGTCATCTGTATTCCAAATTTCTATCTCCAGGTCACGCACTGTTCTAAACTATAGACTGATTTTTTTCCCTGAAACCTTCCACCCCCATGAAGTTCCTTCTGTCAATAAATGCCACCACCATCCCTTGAAATGCTGAAGCCAGAAACCTAAAACCTTCTCCCTCAACTTCGGGTCAATCACCATGTCCTGACTATTCTGCCTCCAACATGCCCCCCTCCATTCTCTCCATTTCCTCCACCTCGCTCTCTCCACCCACTATCATCACATGTCTAGACAAACTGCAGGAAACTTCTCTTTTGTCTCTTTTGCCCACTCCCCTCCATTCTTCACCCAGTAGCCAAAATATTTTTAATATTTGTCACCATAAGATCATTGCCTCTTTAAGGTTAGGAGTTAAGTTTATTTGTTTTACAATTATAGATCCAGCAACTACCATAATAGGTTTATAGTAGACATTAAATGTCAGTTCGCTTAAGGAGAGAAGA